ACGAAAAGAGAGAAACGAAGGATGAGAAAGTGGTAAGATTCGGTATAGCATCGTTAAGATGAGGATAATGTGTGCATGCATCTGCTCGATTGACATCGGTTCTGAGCCATATCATCTAGAGTCTCTAACCACTGGTTCCTCTTGTCCCGCGAACTCCAACCACCTAGTCTGCATCGTCCCATATGGCTCAAACCAACAGTCAGAAAATTGAAATAATATGATGTGTTGATTAGTTTGTTGATCAAGAATATTGTATTTGTATCTTAGTTTTTGTTTTTTCTCATCTATTCGTCAGTTAAATCTAAACAATTCTCCTGAACGTTTATCACCTGTTCACAAATCTGTTGTTTACTATCATAAAAATCAACCTTATTGGAGTGAATTATTTTCAATTACTTTACCATATTCTCCAATTGAATCATCTTGTACAATATCAGATAATGTAGGCGATAATGTTGGTGGTAATAGCAGTGAAATATTCGACCATGAAACACAACAAAAACAACAACAAATATTCAGTCCCAATCCAACATATCCTGGAATGCTAGCGGGTGTACATCTGAGATTCTTATGTCGTCATCGATCAACTGGACCGGGGGGTAAGTGAAATTGTGGTGTTATTGGGGATGGACAAACTCAGATTACAGTTGGTAATGCTATTATAGTTAGTGAACAGAAGTTGTGACACTGATGAAATATCATCAAGCTTATACATCAGGACACATGCTGTTGACTAGATTGGACTTAGGGTGGTGGTGAAAGCCTTTAAGTGATCTGACAGGCATTTCATTCATCAAACAAAGTCATTGATTACTGAACGGGGTGGGATAGAATGTGGGCCATGGTGTCAACCAAGTCAGGTGTAAGAGCAGTTATTTGGTAATAGCCTTGGATAATTTTGGCGCTATATAGCAAACTGACAGAAGGTGAAGAATGGGGTCACTTGATCTTAACTCATTGGTAGAATTTTAAGGTGCTTACCGCGTGACCTGATGATTCTGGGTTCGATCTCTCACAAGTTCGTAGGTCCTCACTACTTAGGAAGTTGTATGCTAAGAAGAAACAGCTGTTCAATGCTCCCAGGTTCCCAGCAGTTTACTGGTTGGTATTAGTCAGCGATAAAAGCCTCTTTAAAATAAGTCAATTACCAACAAGTCTTTCAATTGGAAATCCTTTTCTGATTGGATAGTAGAAATCTGCGGGTGTGTCAGAAGTCTTTAGAATTGTGTCATGTATCTGTGTTTATTTCAAGTCATAACATACACACACCTAGGATAAAAATAAATTCCAGCCATAAATATCTTTTAATAATTAGTACGGCTTCTTAGACATTGGTCAGTAAGAGAGTAGTAGTGAATAACGTTCACTTTCTGCGTTCATATTTCCATTCACATACGGTTTATCAGTTTTAAATCGAAGACGAATTATTTGGACGAAGAACGCTTTGTTCATGGTGTGGAAATACGGCTTTTTGTCTCCAGGATATATTCGTTACACAGTGAAACCCCAGCTGGCAGAGACTCCTGGGTTGCGTTTAAATTACACAAAGTTAACCGTTACACTTCAAACATTTCTTGCAATTTTTCTAAACTAAGACTGCAACTTACTTCTAATAATCACTTATTTCTGACCAGCATTAATTTCAAGCATATGGAGAAACGGTGTCCCACTTGCTGTCCTCTGAAATCAAACCAACGGTGGGTACTGATAGATTTTACAATAACCCATCTTTCGAGAGGATCTGTGGGAGATTCCTGTTCTTTTTCGAGTATATACTTGAACCCTGATCACTCGTTCGTTCAGCTACGTGTATGTTTTGCGACCATGTAGGCTCAGGAAACCTTCAGAAGCTGATCATTTGTTTGGGCATGATAGCGATTATCTTGTTGATTAGCCTGGGATTTTATTCAGTCTACCGTAAAAACAGTGGTAAAGACAGTTGGTAACTTACATTCAAAGGCTAACTGAAGCCAGTGGATTTTCGCAACCTCATCCCAACTAATCGATGTGAGAAGACTCATTCTACCTGGCTGTAACCTTCATGAAGAGCGAAAGCCAACTTAAACATAAGTTGGTTAAGAGTTTTCAAAATAACTGCCAACAGTAATGGGTGGTGATATAGAAAAAAATCGAGAATGGACACTGGTTAGTAACTGTCGAGTAACTAGTTTCATCTTGTCTAGTCCCAAGCGTTTACTGAATTGTTTCGGTCGTTTTTGCATTGTAGTCACCAAGCTAGGAAATAAACCACTACGATTAACTTTAGTTGGTGTTAGTTGGTTAGACGCAATCAACAGGAAGCACTGAACCTATATTCAGTGCTCATACGTGCTAGTCAGCAACGGGTATCTGCAACCTCGAGGGGACTAATTTCCGTTGTGAGATCTGAACCTGCATCTCCCAGTTCTGCAGTCAGCTAACTTATTTCTGGGCTATTCCTATTCTAAGGTTATGCGTGCTAGACAAAGATGTGGTACCAGTCCATAAAGCTTCAACTGCTGATCTAAGCCGTTTAAGGAAGTATAGACCATCTGACTGGGGTCGTCGAAATTATACCAAGGAATGGTTTGAGACGCGTGTTGATGTAATCGAAAATCAGTCACAATGACGCAGATTTATACACTCTTCCACATCTTCGAAATGTAAATCATTTTAGCAATTGAAATATATAATGAAGATTAATAAAAGACAATTCAGCGAAGAAAATTTTCTTTCCGATGAATCATTTTCGAAAGCTGTTCATCGTGATCATAGTTACTTCCAATGACTGGTGGGTCAATATAAAAACATCAGAAAGTCACTAGGTGACAACTAGTAGAAGGTCAAATCGAGGTTATCGAAATTTCCTCATAGGATTATAGTAAATAAACAAAGAAATAAGTAAACTGTTTTAAGGAGATGATGACTAAGGCAAAATTAGAGATTGAATGTATTTTTCTTGAATTCAAAGAGCAGGCTTGTAGTTCTGAATTGCCAGAGCTTCTACTGCGTTGAGGTGGCGAATATGCACTTTTCGAAATGTTTACCTTCACTTTATGACTTCAAAAGAAGATTCTTATAGAGGACAGTGACCAGAGATGACCAAGTGTTCAAGAATCGAGTTGTTGACGGCTTTAAAATGTCCTTTAGGATAGTTTTCGGAGATGCGTTCATATAGAACATGCTTTGTGCAACCTATATAACCGGCTCCAGAAGAGTAGGTGAATTGGCAACAAAGTGAGTAGATAGTCTTCAGCAAGCAAAGAAACGAGAAATTTGTAACTAAGCTAAACAGAAGTCGTTTACACAATATGAAAACTAAAAGAAGGTTAGTTAGGTTTAACATCTGGAAAATTTAAGAATTGAGAAGTAAATAAGGATGGAATGGCAAATTTGCTTCTGGATACACAATTCCGATTTTGATTATTACTGACACAGCTTCAGCGCTACAAAATAAGCATTTCGTCATACCCTTCAGAAGATTACATTGTACTTTGTAGACTAGTACAAACGAATCATCTGGAAATGTGTGTCCGCTGTCAACTAAATGTGGTAATATAGAGCTGTTGATTGATCTACGTTGACTTTTACTGAGTCATACTGAAGAGTGTTGACGTCAACATTGGAAAATCTGCCTCTACGTACGGCCCATGTACCTAGCTTCACATGAGCAGGTGAATTAATGTATCCACTTTCAAGTGGCTGGCTGTGGTAATTTGTCCCTCGCACACGTGTTCTTTTACGACTAAATGAGAATATTTAAATGTTTAAGACTGGAACTATTAATTACCGCAAATTGATGCACTGAAACGTCATTTCCAAGATATATTTCTTCTCAAAGTATTATATTACCTCTGATTTCGTGGACTCAGCCAGTGGTCTGCATATAAATCCCATCGAATGATTCTAGGGAAAAAATGAAGAATAGAATATCAGCAGTAGGTGGCTATTAAAATGCTGTATATCCCTAATTTTGCTTAGCTTTTACCTCTGACCATAAAATAACCTATCATTGCTATTTTTACATCATTGGTAGTTTTTCTTCCCTCTGCTATCAAGGCTAAACTCTCGTTGGTTGTTAACTATTCTAATCTATATGTGGATTTAGTGTTGTCAAGGTTGTTTAGAAGTGTATATATTCAGCATTGACCGTTGTTGAAACATTAAAAGCTATCAGTAAATCTTCTCTTCTTGTCTTCGCGTGTCAGTGGTATTGCTTTGCTGGTCCTTGACGTTCTGATTTGCGTTAGAGTCGATTCATTTGCGCGTTCTGTTCGTATCGCTCGTCGTACTACCGGACATAGCATAAAATGAAACGGTAGACAGTCGTTTGTACGAATAGAGGTTGATTTGTATCATTTGAGCATCAGTGATTAGCAGCGAAGCCCTTACAACAAATTTACCCTACCTAACAGATTTTTTTACGTCTCAACTTCGTATTGTGCGTTTATTATCGTTCGAATTCATTTTTCCGACGTTGTGGGATACTGACTAGTTGTTTCAAGACCACTTGATTAGTTGTAGGTTGTGGTCATCAATCTTTCTTTCCTCCGTTTTCACATGCATACACCGATTGATCACTGGTTGAATGATACGAACAATAAGTTCTACCGAACGATATTTCAATCTGTTCGAAATAAGAAAACTATACTGATGCACTAGTCATCACTTTTGAATAGTTGTAGTGTACAAGCAAAACCTTGGCGAGCATAAGTCTACATGCTCATTAGAATGCTAAAATTGTGGATTTCAGATTCCGTGCATCATCATCCAGTGTTTGCTTCACCATCAATTAGTCAACTGATCATATGACACTAAACTGATTTATGGTAAACCTGAATGGATAATGTTTATAACATACACTACCTGTTCGATCACCTTAACTTGTTTACAGTATAGTAGTAGCAGTAGTGATAATAAGCATTAATAAGTGACGTGAACGGAAGGTGTTTTTTCTTGCATGTGCAGCGTTAGACTGATTGTTATAGTAAATAAATAATACTGGTGGCAATAATATTGATGATTTTCAATTTTGTCAAGTTGTCGTACTAGAAATTATGGCAGCTCTACACTAAAAAATGGTAAGCGATGGTTGTTGAAACATCGTTTATCACATAAGCATTATGGATCCAATTGCTGATTAGTTTCATTCTGTTTTATGTCTACGTACACGCTCCTTCTATAATTCGTATGTCGGACACGACCGATGAATATATGTAGCTGTAAAAATTATTATTATTATTAGAACACAACCGTAATACAGCAAGGGCGCCAGGAAATGGGCCACAAAAAAATTTATCACAACATTATGAAGACGTAAAGTGAAGGGAAGTGGATAAAAATAAAACACAATAAGAAAAGAATGATTAGAAGGGCAGTCCTATAAAATACATTCAAAACAAAACATCCATTACTTTTCACCAGCAGAAAATAAGAGGAAGCTACAGTATGACCGCTACTAGTTTTGATTCTCAGCCATATCTGATAACGTCTCAAGCCACTGAGTTGCGTGGTCTCTCCGACCCCACCCAGAGAGTCGTGGTGCGTCGATGGATGCTAACTCGATACAACTATCCTTCATTCCACGGCATCACTTCGGTTTCTTTCATCCAGTCCCAGGGTTAGGAAACAGTTAACGGTGTGGAAGCCGTTGGGGGCGACATGCGTAATACATCCAAGCCACAGAAGCCGGTGTTTCCAGATGACTACACTTATTGAATGACGATCTCCATCACGCCAAAAAAACATGTTGTCATACCTCAGAATTACTTAAATGGTGTTGCCACCGGATAAGAGCAATCCTACGGAGACAACAATGACTGAGTACATAGAGTCGCTACACATCCTTAGCTTGAAGAGGCCAGGTTTCACAGACGTAGATCAGAACTGCTCCCACCGCAGCGTTGTAAACCCGGCCTTTTACGATTAGGTCGCAGCGGCACCAAAGGTGGCCCAGGTTGGTGTATGCCACTCTGGTTTTCGATATGCAGCTGGAAATTTCACCACCAGCACTCACACAACTACCCAGATACTCGAAATTTGCGATGGCTCACCACCGAAGATCAACGCAAGCACAGGCTCCTGCCGATCTTGCAAAAGTAATTTACACTTTATTGGTGCAAAGCGCATGCCACACTTATATAGAATTGTGTGGATAACGTGCAATAGACATGATGTAAGTCGTTTTTATTTGAGCGTTGATCACTACTGAAACTGTCAACATCTACTTTTGCATGGCTGTTGAGCTTATCTAACTCGATAGTCCAATCGACTTTTAGTGATGAAAATAGTTTTCCGTTGAAGCCTTTTATGCCAGTAAGGTCAGTTGAATGGTGATTATATCAGAGACAGCTTCCGTCAGCGTTTACAATGTGGTTAGGGGCCTTTGGGCAATTTAGTGCAGCTGGATGCATAGAGACCTGATGATAGTGAGCTATTCTATAGTAGTAACACAAAGTTGGAATAGTTGGGTATAAAGCCTCCTTTTGCCTTGCCTTACACCTTTAGTCACGGATGATAACGTTTATTAGGAAATAAATAGATATCTGTAAAACGCCAATAGTTTATTTACATATCATCTGAAAAAGAACAACTATTTGTTCATTATGTCATACTTTCGGTGTAGACAATAAATGATGTGTTCCCTTTACCATCACAGTGCTGAACTGCCATAAGATGCTTTGACGGCTTGAAATAATAACTCGGATAAATAGACAGTTAGGGGTTGACAGTAGTTTTAAGTAGTTCCTCGTCACAAGTTTAACTGATTCGATCTAATTTGAAGGCTTACACTAGGTAAATCCGAAGGGCGTAATCAGTGATTACACGTAGACCACCTGGAATTCTGTTTTCTGTATTGCAAATCTTGCAGCAGTAATTCAGTATTTTACTGTTAGGCGTGTTTAACTTTTATGGATAGTGTGATTGGTATTCATACGGTAGTACTTATGATTATTAAGTAGTATGTTTGTTTCTCCATCATTTTCAAGTTTAAACCAGACCTCAGAATGATTTCACACCTTACCTTTTCCACCATTGTGTCCCTAACTACTTGTAATTCATGCTGATCATTTTCTTACCTTCCTGATTTCAGATTCTGAAGGTAAAATCCTTGGAGTTGCATATTTACGCCTACAACCAAGTACATCCGTTCCTGTCCTCCTCCCTGATGGAGATTATCACTTGTACATACATAAGGTTAGTGTTAAAAAGTATCTTATTGAAGCTTTTCTGTTGCATATTACACTTGCTATTTCAAGGAAAAAATAGTCGCGATAAATTGGTCTTGTGCTGTATAGGAGTAATTACTGATACAGTGCTATTGATATGCTGCTGTAGAGTTCCTCTCAATGAGAACATTTTTCTGTTAGACTAAATACAATTTGCAGAGAAATACTATCATCCTGTTAATGATGGATAGTGACTGGAGGTGGAATTCAGGATGTGGGTTTCGTCCTATTTTGATCGTCAGCTGGATGCACTTCCCTCCCAATGGGTTATCTTCATGTTGAACAATGTCATCCACTTGGGTGCAACTACATCCCGCTAACGAGTCACCAAATAGGAAGATACATGCGTCCTGAGTCCATTGATGTTCACTATCCATTGATAATATCAAATTTGGAAATACCAACGGTGCCAGGGCGTACGCGCCGAAACCCATACGCCAATAATGGCTGATCAATTTAGTCCAATATTCATCGACTTTGAAAAGGCCTTCGACAGCGTCGACCGAGAAGTAGTTTGGAAACTAGTTTAACACTACGGAGTACCACAAACCTATATCAACCTCATTCAACAGCTATATGCTATATGAGGGGATGCTACATGCCAAGTGATTCACAATGGAAAATGGAGTGAAGACAGGAGTAAAAAAAGACTGTCTACTATCACCCATGATATTCCTGATTGTGGTCGACTGGATCATGCAACAGACAACTGTGAAGAGTGAGAAGATGGACATACGCCAGCTGGACCGGTGAAGAGACCCCAGAAGAAGATTTGGATTTCGTCGATGATGATTTATGCCTAATGCCTTGTCGCACAAACTCGAAGATCTACAGGCGAAAACTAACAAGTTGACAGAAGAGGCGAGGCAGCGAAGACCGGACTTCAAGTGTGAACGTAGAGAAGACGGAGGTGATGAAGATACCCAACCAACGACGACGACGACAACAACAACAACCAGCACCAATCACCTTCAACGGGAGGAACCTTAAGGAAGTAGTCTCTTTCACCCACCACCTAGGCAGCATCGTTCGAACTACAGGAGACGGTGGTACAGACGAGGATGTCAAAAACAGTCAGGATCTGAAAGACAGCAAGACAGGCTTTCATTAATCTGAAATCAGTGTGGAGATCTACTGCACTGCACTCAGCATAAAGCGTGAACGGGATCCGGATCTTCAACACTAATGTCAGTCAAGTCGGTGCTGCTATATGGTTGAGAAACTTGATGTGTCACGAAAGGTATTTCCAACAAACTCCAGACATACATCATCAACAGCTGCCTACACTCGATACTGACACTGAAGATCAGATGGCCAGAATAATAAGAATAATCAACAAGGTACTCTGGCCGGGTAACGAACCAAGCAAGAAGCCATCACTCAACAAATATGCAGTGGAAGGAAGTGGAGATGGGTTTGGCATTCACTGAGAGGACCGACTGGAGACATGACGCGCCAAGCCCTCGAGTGGAATCCAAAGGGGAAGCGACGAGTTGGGTGTCTGAGGCGAGGGTGACACGGAGGGGAGATGGTGTGAGGAAGAAATGAGAGTTTGTGGGCGGTGGTGGAGCTGGGTTCAGAAGATTGCAGAGAAGAGAGTGCAATGGAGGCGTGCTACTGAATTCGTATGTTCCACCAGGAACCCAAGGGATAAATAATAAAATAATAATAATTCGGTCCAATCAACGACAGAGATAGAGAAACTATAACACGAAAGACTATCCTATTTTGTTGTTTTTATCCATTCGCATCAATTATGTGTGCATACAATGGAATTATTACCGATTAATTGAGTTTAGATGTATTTGTAACCTAATAGATTCGTTCCAACCGTTTCTGTTATTATCTCATTCATATCTTATACACACTATATTTTGTTGGTTTGAATTGTCAGGAGAGAAAAAAGAAAGATTATTTCCGGTTTAGGGTTAGAGTTAGATATGTATTGGAATGTCAGTTGCAATGTATGTACGTATGTAATAATAATAATAATAATAGTAATAATAATTTTTCGATAGTCTCTATGCTGAATAATATTTCTAGCTTTTATGATGAGTTTGTCTTCATTTGGTTAGTGAATTCGTTTTGTGATTATCAAGGAAATAAATAATGACATGCAAAAATATAGTTTGAATTAAATAATATTATAACATGATGAATATACAAAACCGTATAATTGCAATACGGACATTGTGTTATGTATCGATACATGATATACATTAAATGTAGCAAGTTTGACCTAAATTATACTTTACGGTTCGCTGATGTTGGTCAAAATGACTTTTTTGAACTGTTATGCTGAGTCGCCTAACTTGTTGAGCACACCACAAAACGATTAAGAGAATTCGGTCACCACTTAGGACTGAATAACTGACAAAGCAATACATGTATAGTCCAGTCCTACTGTAAATCGAACACGGCTTGAATTACATCTCTGACTGCAGTATTGATTGATGCAGGTTCAAGTCCCTGGGGAGACTGACATCCTCTCAAAGTTGCAGATATATCGTGTTGGCGAGTATCATCTAGTATCAGACCAAAATTGAGCAGGAATCCCTGCCTATTGTCTCCAATCATCTAACAGATACTTTTTCTGACTAAATTTCGTTGCTTGTCCGAGTAGACCAAACCTAATAAAAGTACTGATACTTCTAGGTATGAATGCAGAAGTTCAGCGTTATGGAAGTGTTAATAGTTTGTCCAAACGTTATCTGTTTTTGTCAATAACCGTGAATATTACACTTTTGCCACTTATTTTGGTGTCATTAACATATAGAGATGCTATTTTCATTCATGTAACATACGTGTTGTTTGATAGGTATCTTGCGCTCTGCAGACCTTGATCATTGACCTCATAACTATTGATTCCGAGGTTTTAAACTATGTTCCACTTTTTTTTTCTTGAGCTACCAAGTGTTGCACATAGTAATATACTACTGAACAGTATGAGTAGTTAGGAACCATTCACGCTGATCTGTAGATTTCGATAACCAGATCAGGATTATCTCAACATCAGACGATCGTTTTACTCGTTTGGAACCGAACTTATCAGCAGTGTACCCGGACAAATGATATACGTAGTTATTTAGTTGTACTTGTCATTTCTAACGTCTTACTCTAAGGTCTTGTGGATAGTCGATGTTCATCCGCTTTCTAGCATTTGACCATGTTCGTTATTACAAAGTATATATCATCATTAAGAAGATCGAAGGCGTATTCGCTTATAAATACATAATAAGGCAGAAAGAATATGTGCTTGCTTATTTGATTGTACTTTAATTGTATTTCTCATTACTCTTGTACTATCCACAAGATGTGAAACGCTTGAAGCAACGTGCTACCCTTTTCAAAGAAGATTTTGCAGGGGTGGTTAGCAAACGCAAATGTCTAATATTGTGGCAGTTGTGACATTTCACTGCAGTATTTTGTATGTGAAATTTAACAGTAATCTAACATAACTGTAAATTACCAGCGACTCTCAATGTAGTGTATTTAAAACATCAGGGAAGGTGTTTTACTCCTAGGAAGAGAGATAAAATTTGGATGCAAGGCCATCGTTTTTCAATTCAATAAAATAAGTAGCATACTTGAAATGTAACCGAATCCAGTGGGAAAAGAACGATAAACACGACTCATGTATGATGGACGAATGAAGAGCTATAAAAAGTAGGGATTTAGTCATAACAGCTAATTTAAAAGGCATATGGAGATTTACAGTCATTCTTAGGGATTATTAATCCCCAGGTATAATCGTTTAAACATCTTATGTGCGCAAGGAATCGATGTTAGCTGTAGACTTCTACTTCATTCTTCCCAATACCTATCAGCATAGCATATTTACAATTTCAGCAGTGGATTCCAGGCCGAAACGTGAGTCCTGAGAATATCGAGGCATCCGCGCAGGAGCCTATATGCCAATAGAAACCGATCAATTCAGTCCACCCAACTACGGGATAAAACAAGCAATAACCTTGAAAATATACCCGTCGCACAAGAAGTCGTCTAGTGGAAAATGGTTGGGGTCGGTCCCGAGTTCGCGTCCAGATGAAGGCTCACTGGGAAGATGGCACACTTGAATGACCAGTCCCGGATAGGACAAAACGCGCGTCCTGGATTCCACTGCTAGCCACTACCCATCATTAGTTTCAGATGAAGTCTAAGTCCGTATAATTCACATACTATTATGAAAAACGACGCCATCAATTGTGTCATCAGCAAGGTCTGCTGAATTTATACACTTCTTTTCTTGATTGATAAATTTCATTAGGTAATAAAGCGTGGAAAATAATCCCTCGTTGTCCCATCGCTAGATAACGGGAGTAACTATACCCTTGTCTGAAGGAACGAAAGGTAGCTGCCCACTGATTGGAAGAACAGCTACCTAGTCAAACTCCCAAAGAAGGGAGACCTAAATCTTTGCAAGAACTGGTGCGGAATCATGATACACTCCTGTTCACCCCAAGCAAAATATTAAGCTACATCACCCTGGAGAGACTAAAGGATGCACTGGATTCAAAATTACCACCAGAACAGGCTGGCTGGTTGGCTTCAGAAAAAACAAATCATGTGTACATCAAATTACAACGCTTCGCTTCGCTAAGCTACGCATCACCAGAGAACAGAGCATAGAATGGTAGTGAACTCACTACCTCAACTTTATCGACTTTGAAAAGACCTTCGACAGCGTCGACCGAGAAGTAGTTTGGAAACTAGTTTAACACTACGGAGTACCACAAACCTATATCAACCTCATTCAACAGCTATATGCTGTATGAGGATGCTAGATGCCAAGTGATTCACAATGGAAAATGGAGTGAAGACAGGAGTAAAAAAGACTGTCTACTATCACCCATGATATTCCTGATTGTGGTCGACTGGATCATGCAACAGACAACTGTGAAGAGTGAGAAGATGGACATACGCCAGCTGGACCGGTGAAGAGACCCCAGAAGAAGATTTGATTTCGTCGATGATGATTTATGCCTAATGCCTTGTCGCACAAACTCGAAGATCTACAGGCGAAAACTAACAAGTTGACAGAAGAGGCGAGGCAGCGAAGACCGGACTTCAAGTGTGAACGTAGAGAAGACGGAGGTGATGAAGATACCCAACCAACGACGACGACGACAACAACAACAACCAGCACCAATCACCTTCAACGGGAGGAACCTTAAGGAAGTAGTCTCTTTCACCCACCACCTAGGCAGCATCGTTCGAACTACAGGAGACGGTGGTACAGACGAGGATGTCAAAAACAGTCAGGATCTGAAAGGCAGCAAGACAGGCTTTCATTAATCTGAAATCAGTGTGGAGATCTACTGCACTGCACTCAGCATAAAGCGTGAACGGGATCCGGATCTTCAACACTAATGTCAGTCAAGTCGGTGCTGCTATATGGTTGAGAAACTTGATGTGTCACGAAAGGTATTTCCAACAAACTCCAGACATACATCATCAACAGCTGCCTACACTCGATACTGACACTGAAGATCAGATGGCCAGAATAATAAGAATAATCAACAAGGTACTCTGGCCGGGTAACGAACCAAGCAAGAAGCCATCACTCAACAAATATGCAGTGGAAGGAAGTGGAGATGGGTTTGGCATTCACTGAGAGGACCGACTGGAGACATGACGCGCCAAGCCCTCGAGTGGAATCCAAAGGGGAAGCGACGAGTTGGGTGTCTGAGGCGAGGGTGACACGGAGGGGAGATGGTGTGAGGAAGAAATGAGAGTTTGTGGGCGGTGGTGGAGCTGGGTTCAGAAGATTGCAGAGAAGAGAGTGCAATGGAGGCGTGCTACTGAATTCGTATGTTCCACTAGGAACGCAAAGGACAAATGATAATAATAATACCCTTGTGTGTTTGAAACTGTTCTTATGCAGCCTGAAAAGCGTGTAAGTCATTGTTATCAATGGTGTTTGATTAATGATGTTGTTCATAGTATTTTCCTTTTCTCGATTTACTGGTGATCACTTTTAAAAAAGATTTCTTAGCCCATGAACAATTGCATTTAGTTGTATTCTCTACTGAGTTTATTTATTTGATGTTATGGTGTAATTCTAATGCATATTACCTATGCATTACAGATGGATATGGCTCAAGTGAATGCATGTCGTTATCTGTGTCAACCGTTTTATTGTGAGGATGATTCACCAATTCTCTATGGTTCAAGTAGTGGTTCTGGTTCCGGTTCCATTGGTAGTACAGTTAGTTCAGGTTCCTTGAATTCAAGTGGATGGAGTAATGTGTTGTCTATACCGAATTTTTCAACTTCATCCTCTTCTCGTAATCGTATGGATACACTGCATGTACAAACTCTTGTTTGTAGTAGTTATCATACTACTGATGGTAAGTGCTTATACTATACTAGTAAGGATCATCAGTGTTTTCCTTCATAAGATATTTTTATGTATTTCCTTTTCATTGGATTACCAAACAGTTTATCAGTAACCCCTTGGTAAATGCGGTTTTGTACACTGGAGTATTTTGTTGTTTCGGCCTATCTCAGATTCATCAGTTGCATGCACCTTCGTATGCACATGCATATTCCTAGTACATCAAGAAGACAGCTGATCCCATTGCATATGATTTGGTGGCTGTCAGATTATAGCCCAGTGGATAACACAAAAGTGTTCACTGTTATTCATGATTGGTTAGATTCTGTGTGGGAGGATTACGACAGACACTACGTCCTTCAGCTGAATGATCTCAAAGTTCACGTAATATGTGTCCTGGAATAAATCTTCCATTCCGTAATGAATACGATCTACATTTGCCCACTTTAGTTTAATGTGATTGGTTAAGAAGAATAATTAGTTAGGAAGCTACAGAGTTTCAGGTTTTGATATTTTCTCCGCACACCAGCAAGGCAGGTGATCTGATATTGCAGGTCAAGTCAATTGAAACGTTACCCTAATATATACTTTCCGTATATGAGCTACAGTGTTATTGTATTCGTTGTTCTGCTTTTCAGTTGATGACTAACATAAGAGGAAGTGTAAAATCGAGAGAGTTTTTGTCTACGTTTTCACACTTTTCAACCTATTAAAACATTCAATATTACAATATATCTCCCCCCAAAGTTATCAGCTGAATACTCATCCTCTTACATGTATGTATTTCTATGCGGCGCTCAGGATTTCTCAAGTCTAAGTAGCTCATACACCAGGAGTGGTCGGTTAGTTCGGTTCAGTGTGATAATCGAGGGTAGATAATAACAAAAATCAGCAATGTCAAATGATACCTGCTACACAGTATGTGGTTTGCATGGTTCAGTAGCCTAATGGACAACGCTTTGGAGTTTGAAGTGTTGGGTGCTAGGTTCGAGACTTAGTGGGGACTTCATCATTCGATGAGATGCAGTTACACACAACTGATGCATCCAAAATAGGACGAAATGCGCGTCCTGGACTCTGTTTCTAGCCACTACCAAACAGATAACACCAAATCCCTTTAAGTTTTCCTATTTCTTATTGTGAAGCTTCTTAATTAGTGTAGACTATATATCTTATATATTTTTCATTATTTTACGTGTGTATTGCCAAAAATATGTACTGTAGTGCTACGCAATGCATTTCATTTCATTGATTTGAATCTAATCTGTGTTTTTCCTCCCCTATTAAGTGGAACTGCGTAGTTTAATCCCATTTATTATTTGTAATTAAATGCTAGTCAGAGGATGGTAGACTGCAATGACCTTGTCACAAGTGTAGGTAACTAATGCAGATAACTTTGCTGTCACTTTTATATATGCGCATACATAGATAGTTAATAGTTGCCTGGGCATGTGATAAATAAAGTTGTAACACACTTTGAATCAGTTTTGTGCTGTAAGCTAGCACGATGGTGACCAATTTTAGGATATTATGGTCTATTGAAAAATATGCTCTATCCGTCAACCTAAAGGCATCATGTTTGATTGTCAAACCGACTTATTGATTTAAAGCTCAAAATTGGTACAGCATACACACCAAGAAATAGGCTTTTAGAAAATAATATAGCAACGTTATGAAAACATGGAAGAAGATATTTGAGGGGAAAGAACAACGAAACTGGTAAAATGATCAGAGAAAGACTATAAGAAGCGTTCTGTGCTTTTGTTTTACTTTTCAAAAACAAATGATACACGGAGGCTATGATGTAATCATCCTATTCTTCGATTCTGAGCCATGTCTGATTGCATCTCGCTCCACTAATTTGATTGATCGCACCCATCCAGAAACTTGAAACGCACTAGAAGATGCCTATCCAACACAGCTATCCTCCATCCCGCCATACCATGTCATATGTTCAACCAATCCGGCCACTTTCTAAACCATCCCCGGCGTTAGCAAACAATGCTCGATGTGCACACTCGTTGCCACGACATAATCTTATTAATTAATATGGTCGTTTGAACTATAACCTTCAGGCTCCACCCTTTATTATTTTTATTTATTATTTTCCCCTTGGGTTCCTGGTGGAACATACGAATTCAGTAGCACGCCTCCATTGCACTCTCTTCTCTGCAATCTTCTGAACCCAGCTCCACCACTGTCCACAAACTCTCGTTTCTTCCTCACACCATCTCCCCTCCGTGTCACCCTCGCCTCAGACACCCAACTCGTCGCTTCCCCTTTGGATTCCACTCGAGGGCTTGGCGCGTCATGTCTCCAGTCGGTCCTCTCAGTGAATGCCAAACCCATCTCCACTTCCTTCCACTGCATATTTGTTGAGTGATGGCTTCTTGCTTGGTTCGTTACCCGGCCAGAGTACCTTGTTGATTATTCTTATTATTCTGGCCATCTGATCTTCAGTGTCAGTATCGAGTGTAGGCATCTGTTGATGGTGTATGTCTGGAGTTTGTTGGAAATACCTTTCGTGACACATCAAGTTTCTCAACCATATAGCAGCACCGACTTGACTGACATTAGTGTTGAAGATCCGGATCCCGTTCACGCTTTATGCTGAGTGCAGTGCAGTAGATCTCCACACTGATTTCAGATTAATGAAAGCCTGTCTTGCTGCCTTTCAGATCCTGACTGTTTTTGACATCCTCGTCTGTACCACCGTCTCCTGTAGTTCGAATGATGCTGCCTAGGTGGTGGGTGAAAGAGACTACTTCTTAAGGTTCCTCCCGTTGAAGGTGATTGGTGCTGGTTGTTGTTGTTGTTGTCGTCGTCGTTGGTTGGGTATCTTCATCACCTCCGTCTTCTCTACGTTCACACTTGAAGTCCGGTCTTCGCTGCCTCGCCTCTTCTGTCAACTTGTTAGTTTTCGCCTGTAGATCTTCGAGTTTGTGCGACAAGGCATTAGGCATAAATCATCATCGACGAAATCCAAATCTTCTTCTGGGGTCTCTTCACCGGTCCAGCTGGCGTATGTCCATCTTCTCACTCTTCACAGTTGTCTGTTGCATGATCCAGTCGACCACAATCAGGAATATCATGGGTGATAGTAGACAGTCTTTTTTACTCCTGTCTTCACTCCATTTTCCATTGTGAATCACTTGGCATCTAGCATCCTCATATAGCATATAGCTGTTGAATGAGGTTGATATAGGTTTGTGGTACTCCGTAGTGTTAAACTAGTTTCCAAACTACTCTCGGTCGGCGCTGTCGAAGGTCTTTTCAAAGTCGATAAAGTTGAGGTAGTGAGTTCACTACCATTCTATGCTCTGTTCTCTGGTGATGCGTAGCTTAGCGAAGCGAAGCGTTGTAATTTGATGTACACATGATTTGTTTTTTCTGAAGCCAACCAGCCAGCCTGTTCTGGTGGTAATTTTGAATCCAGTGCATCCTTTAGTCTCTCCAGGGTGATGTAGCTTAATATTTTGCTTGGGGTGAACAGGAGTGTATCATGATTCCGCACCAGTTCTTGCAAAGATTTAGGTCTCCCTTCTTTGGGAGTTTGATTAGGTAGGTGTTCTTCCAATCAGTTGGCAAGTGCCTTTCCTTCATTCCAAACCTTCTACAGTAGGGGTGTAAGCATGTCCACTTTTGTCTCTGCGTCTGTTTTCAGTGCTTGTGGAGGAGTTCCATGTGATTTTGCTGCTTTCCTAGATTTTAGCAGTTCTGTGGCATTCAGGACCTCTGGTTTTGTCGGAGGGCCTATGCTCACTGGTAGTTCTGCCGTTGCTGGTGGAATTTCCGGATAAGTTGCGGGTGGTGGTGGTCGATTCAAGAGTTCCATGATGTGGTCAGCCCATCGTTTCTTTTCTTTCTCCTCTATGGTATCTTGCTTCCCCTAACCATCTTTTATTGATTTCGTCTGCGTTGATCTCTTCCCGGACAGTAAGTATACTAGTTGTTTGATATTATGTTGTCAGATCTCTCCAGCAGCCTGCAGCGTGTTCTACTTCACTTGCCAGTGTGTCGTAGAAGTGTCTTTTGTGTTTGCGCGCACTCTTTTTCGCTTTTTTTGTCCAGTGATTTATACTTTATACTCAGTTCTTCTTTTCGTTGTGCATCCTCACACTGGTTCATCTTCTGCTTCACCTTGACCATCATCCTCTCCGTGCTCTATCAGCTTCCATGTATCCATCGAGATCCATTCCTTCCTTGTCTTCTTTCTTCTTCTTTCCTAATGCGGTTATGGAGGTTTCTTTCCACAGGGCTTTCAAAGAGTTCTAGTGTTCTTCCACGCCTAATCCTTCAGCGATGTTGCTCAGCGTCTCTCGTTTTGTTCTGATGGCGGACGCGAAGATTTTCTTTGTAGTTTCGTCCTTCAGTTCAGTTTCTGTTCTGGGTGTTCAACTTCTAATATGGTCTATCACCAATCTCGAAGGCTTTCAGCTTGATTTGGAAGGTTCCTTGCACTGGTTAGTGAGTGGTGTGAACCTACATCTGCTCCCCTTCTTGATCTTGTGTCAAGTACACTGGGTTTCAACTTTCTTCACATTCAGATGAAGTCAATCTGATTTTCATTGCAGTGTGTCCATCTGGTGAAGTCCATGTCGCTTTGTTGATATCCTTGTGTTTGTTCGCACTGCCGCCAATCACCAAATCGTTGAATACGCAGAAGTCTGCAAACAGTTTTCCCTTCGCATTCATCAGTTCACTGAGTACTTCTCGACCCATGATGAGTTCTTTTCCTGTGTTGTCCGCTCCTGGTTTGTCATTCATGTCACCCATTAGAATGAATTTTGATGTCACCATTTGGTGTGGGGTCTTATCCATTACTGATTGCAGTTATCTGTAGAATTCATCCTTCTTCTCTTCATCTGCATTATTTGTTGGCGTGTAGCATTGAGTGATTATGACTTTCCTTCCTTTTGAGTTGAATCTCGCTGTCATGAACCTGCAGGAGGAGACTGGTTTCCACTGCATGAGAGCCTTCCATGTTCTTGCAGACATCATGATAGCCACTCGAAAACTCAGTGTGCTAATGGTTGTCGTCTGGGTGACAATATAGGAGTAGAATATTGACTCTTCAGGTAAGAGTTTGGAGAGTCCATTTCCATTTTATCTGCTTTTGCAGATTCCTAGCACTTCCAAGCCATACCTCCTCATCTCTTTAGCAATCTGGGCAGCCTTGATAGGTTCATACATGATGCGGACATCCCATGTGCCTATCCTTACTTTCGCTCCACCCTAATTTTCGCTAAATTCATCAGGAAAAAAAGACGGTAAAGCAACAGAAGGTACATCACTGAGTCCAAAATATACACAATACAAGTTGTGCATATATATATATATATATATATACTGACTGACTGACTGACTGACTGACTGACTGACTGACTGACTGACTGACTGACTGACTGACTGACTGGTCAGACATCGTTAACGGTTTGGTAAAATGATTGGTCAGATGTACTTGAAGTTTTTTGTCTAGAAAAATTGTACTAATTTGTCGTTTTTTTTGTATGTGTACTATCAGAAAATCTAACGAAAGTTATCTTATGGCGTAATTATCAAGAAGATATTATCATGTGTCTACGTCAAGGTATTTATCTGTCAAGAAAAGATAATGAATTGAGAAAAGTAAGTTTTCTGTGGATTAGTTGGAGTTATTTGTTGTTTCCAAAAAGAAGTATGTTTTGAGTGAGATTTATACGTGTATGATGAGACTAAATGGTCTATAAAGGCACAAAATAATCAATATATATTTATAGGTATCCAAATCAAGTTGAAATTTGATGAAATACAACAGTAGTCATCGCATGGATGTCCATGCATCTCGAATGAGATTTAAATGAATGCTCAATGAATACAATACAGTACACCAAATAGACTAAAGAGCAACGTAGTCTTTTTGAAGGACAATATTTATGAGAATTTTCAATCCATTTATGTGTATAAAACTTGAATACTCTTACTGTAATGCAGCCAGTATACCTGTTTGAGACTTCCCGTGAAATCAAGATTTAGAAAGAGTGAACACTGAAAGACTTCCGTCCTACCACTTAAAAGTTCAGTAAGGCTGAGAATGCTTGAAAACAGTTTGATCATTTCTCTATACGCTTTAATTTTAGTTCACAAAATCGATTTCAACAATGTGAAAATTATTCACAATAGCTTTGTTTCTCTCCTTTCGTACTTAATATTTCTTCTGACTGCATTCTCTTATCTTCATCTTGTGTCTCATTGCCTTTTTACTTGATATACTGATATGAGGTGTGGCAACTCGGACCGTTACGCAGTAATGCCTGGTCCTAGTTTGATCTGGATGAGTGAGAAACGTTTCAAGGCAGATTCTCTTCAGATAAGATATGATTTGATCTAGTTTCAGTTGTTGTAATCATACTTATAACCTTCCGTTGCTATATAGGCCAAATTGCTCGACTGAGATCAGTATAACATGATGAATATCCGGCAGTATCGAGGCATCCGCATAGGAACCCATCTGCCAGCAGAGGTCGAGTAATTCGGCTCTGTGTAGCAATGGGAAATTATAAGTATCAATACAACAACTGATACCCGTTGCACAAGAGGCGGCTGTTGTGTCCCACAGGCTTAGTGAATAACACTCTGGCACTTGAAGCTAAGGGTACTGATTTGAGCCCCGGTAGGAATAAAATCACTCACTGAGGTACAGGTATATCCAGCTGATGAGTGGGTCCTAAGTAGGACGGAACGCGATTCCTGGATTCCTCTGCTAGTCACCAAAATCAACACAAACTGGTCTGGTTCCTACCTACCCTCTACATACTACTGAAAATGTCAATATGCTTGTTATAACCACTACGGGCAAATGTAAACATACAAACTGCAATCTACAACTCACCCATCCATGACACTAAGCACGCTTCATGTAAACGTCATCTTTACAATCGACTGACAACGCCGAATCATTCGTGCAGAAGAATTGTTATTGAATTGTCGGTAAAAGCAATTAGTTTCTTTGGTGAATTTGCATAATTTAAACACTGTGTAAAAACAACCCTGTTTTGTATTTCACTCACTGGGACATTCAAATTCTATTATGAAGAATAGTGAGTCGATAAGATGTTTTGGCATACTCATATTCTTACAAGAGGATGATAATTGGGATTACAACTAAACCTAACTTGTAACAGGGTTCAAAAGTCATAGGAAGAATAGCCTACAGGATCTATGCTAACACAGATAGTCAAACGAACAACTGATCTGTCACTTTAGTTTGATTTTGATTGAAAAAGAAGCTTGTATGATAATGGCGTACAGATAGTTATGTATCATTCATAAATATGAGAGTTGAAGTATGGCGGTGAAACCTTGTCAGTGACTGGATCTCACAACTCAGTCCTGCTGTGATTGTAGTATTCTTTCAACGTTGTTAATGAACCCCTAAAGTTCATAGTTATTGTTTGCTTGTACTCCATAAATCACAGAAGCTTGCTCAACCAACCGGTTAGATCATACACTCGAACCCAGGTCGCATAACTTAACCTAGGCAGCAGTAAAGTTGCCTATCATTCATCTTGCATCACCCATAACCTATTTCTAAGGCATTTTCCCTGATCAAGTAGTAAGTTACTCAGTAATCTAGGAGTGACAAAGTATTTTATTCCTTAAATACGTGTCAGTATCTGAAGCTTCATTATCTTTCTAGATGCTGTGTTATCAAAATATACCTTGTCTTTGGAAACTAGTCGTCTAACTGTTGTCAGCTGTCACACGCATAGTTTTCTTCTGACCCACTAATGACGAATAAACCATATTCTGAAACGTTATCTAACTAACCTTAAACTACTTATTTGAGTAGTAACTAAAATCCCAGCATACGAAAACAAAGCTGCATTGTATTAATCTATTTTGGTTTCAATTCTAATTTCTTTTATATTCTATTGATGAGATGTAATTGATCGTAAGCGCTCTTCGATAAGGTTGCATAGTGATGATATTTCAATGATCTAGTCACTATTCAATCTCTCCTAAGTGGAAGCTGAAAAGTTTATTCTCTGTTTTCTGATTGGTTGGTTAAAATGGCTTGTTTTTCATCCATTTACCATGCATATACTTATACATAGATATGTCTATTTCTTATGGTATCTTACTTCCATCTTCCTCATTTATTCAGTTTACTCGTTCACTAATCGACAGTATGTTACAACTCCTGCTAACTACAATGGATGAGAATTTTCAACATATTATCAATCTAAATTTAGGTTATAGTCTTCTAATGGGATTGGCTCGTTGCTACAAAGACTTGGCAATTGATTCAGTTCGACAACACTTAATACACAGTTATCTTAATGGATCTGGATTTGTGTATTATAAAATATATATACCATATCTACAATTGTTGAATGCAATGCTGTTTGAAATTATCTCTCCGGTATTGTATCAAAATCATCCTTATCCTCCTTCTGCTCCATTACCACCACTTCCAGTCAGCAGTAATACAGTTAGTCGATCAAAATTGGATCAGACACTGAATAGTCGAAACGGTGGGCCAACTAACTACTCTTCCATACAGTTCTTTGATTCGAAAGCTGTACAACTCATATTTTCTACAATCCAATGGGCTTTTTTAATCATAGTCCGTTCAAGAGTAAGTTGGTTGTGAAATATTGTTCAGCTTTTTTTTTTTGAAAACGCTTTTATGGTATATTATACTTAAGGACCAGCCATGGTGCATATTTCAGACAGTTGATATGTGATCTTTTGTTCTAGTGGATATATTCTATCCTTGATAGCATTGCATTCTCTGAGCCGGATGTCTGAAAAGTCTTGATCGACAGTAAAGTCATCATCCACTTTGAAAGGAATTGAGATGTTATAGAGGGGATGACTTGAGCAGCACAGAGAACACAAGTGAACTAAAATTGACTAACACACCAACCATTACTAAGTGATTCATGGCGTATATGAGGGGAATCACTTAAGATCAAGAAATGCATAAAAGGTAACCTAAGAATATTACTGCAGCTAATCTTCAGGAGCTGTTACTTTTCTCCACTTCAACTTTTTCATAGCCGGACTGAAATAAAAGTAAAGTAAATGGTATTTTAGAGAATCTACTAAATGTATCTTTTCAATACAGTTTACAGTGACTACATTTCTGTGTTCTAGTTGTTGAAGCATATGTATTCGGTAGGAAAAGGTGGTGAGGATGTAGTGAAACGTGACTCAGTGGCTAGGTATCGATTGTCTACGTGTTTCTCTGTTTAAATGTTGTCTTTCAATCTATAAAATCCCTCTTAATAGCTATTCTACTCATTCCCCCAACATAGTCCTTTTATCTGCAATTATAATTTCTAGAAAGTATAAAATAATTCATTATTATCACGTGTTGATCGAAAGATCTTTTGTTTCATTAAGATTGTTTTGCTTTTCTCTATTTAAAAAAATTTCTTCAAGCATTTAGATATCATGCAACTGAATGATAAATATCAAAAGGAAACTGAATCATTGTTTATACGTCAGGTCGAATCTTTTCTATCCAGAGTGATTGATGTTACCTGTCGTACTGACGATGTTCTCCTTCGAGTAAGTAGTGATGTACTCATGCAACTGACCAGATGCTTCCATAAACTGTTGAGACTATTTATTTTTCCGTACTTTTGATGCGTTTCCGTGCTTGTTCTCATGATTCGATAAAAATCAGTTTTTTCTTGTTCAGAAACCTTCAGCCTTAGAAGCTTCGTACCGCTGATGCAAACCAGAAATATCGGTCGACAAAAAATAAGGTTGTCTTTTCATACTACTTGTAAGTAGTGTAAAAATTAACTGAAAATTCTTGTGCTGTGGAATATGACTGCGTAGCTTAGGGTATTTCCACGATCAACACATTTTCATGATGCACTTTATAAGATTTATTTACTTTTACTATTGAATTGTGTACTTCTCTGACGGCTTAAGATCAATGCGTGGAGTGATCTGTCGGGGTGTATGTTTTTAAATTTCTGCATGCTACGGTCTACTTTTTAGCTCTATCTCATATATGGTTTAAACAGACTATATGATGAATATGAAAAGGTCATCTTCCATTATTTACCCGGTTTCTACCAACTTGCTGAGTGATACTAAGCTCCGAAGGCTTTGAACTGCAGGAGCGGCGGCAATTAAAGTCAAACAATCTGAGTTATGTATTCAGAAAAAGTGGGTGTTGCCACTAAAACTACTTCCGTCTTATCCGGGATGTAACAAATTTCTAAGCTTTCCACCCCATGTAACCTAATTTTCAGGTTCCACGTTTTAGATGTTCCCTTACATAAGTACCATTTTACTAGACTAGTGGATAATGCTTTGGCATTTGAAGTGACAAGTATTGACTTCCAGTCTCAGTGGGAACAATACTGCTCACTGGGGTACCGGTGCATCCAACTGACGTATACCAATTAGAGGAAAATGCGCGTCCTCCACTCCCCTACTTGTCACCTAGTAAACTGCAGCACAATAAATATTCAGTCATTATCAACGCATCCTCATGGGAGCCCATCTGCCAACAAAGTTTGAGCAAATCGATACAATAGAGGAGCATGAATTATAAGTATCTATAAATAGTACTTCTCAAACTATCCGTCTTAGTTTATGACACCTTACGTTCATATACACCCATACAAACATATGTAAAGAAGAGTGAACACACGTATTTACTCATCATCTTCCTTAGGATCGTAAATTTTACCAGATGCTCACACATTTGTACAACTTAACTTATTGTTTTTTCCGATTTTACATTCACACTTTTCATTTCTCCCTTCTTTTCATGATAGGCTTTTACTCATTTAACTTTTATTATCAAAGTGAATATAACTTATTTTCACCATTTAGTATTACCTATGTAATTAATTATTTGGAATTGAATTCCAGTAATATTAAATTGTGACATTATATTTTATATAAGAACTTTCCGAAGAGAATGCCCGGGCTGTTTAATAATATTAACGGACTGTTATAAGACGTAAAAACCTGAAAGAGTTGTTGAAAAGAGTATTCTTCATTTATTCAAATTTCTTTTGAAACTGAAGACTTCAAGTCATCTAATCCAATGTCAGTGAAGGCAGATTTAGTCAAATGTCTGGATGATACGGCTAGAAAACTAATTCGTCATTGCAAAGACCTAAACATGGAATTGAAACACGTAAAAGATGCACTAATAGTTAATAACTATTCTCTATGGGTTATTAAATGAAATAATAACAATGACATGAGTACGAATAATAACGACAACACCAGTAGAAAAGAGTTCACAGCCTCCATTGTGTTGTTACACTACTAAGGGAAGGTACATCAGAAACTTTACATAGAGGATTCTTAACAAACCTGGAATTAGGGTGGCATTTAAACCTACAAACTCACAGAGAGATAGGCTTATACGGCTTAAGGATCCGATAGAACCAATTAAGCAAAATAATCTTTCCAATTCCATTTAATAACTGTGAGGTCAAGTACATAGGTCAAACTAGCCGGTCGGGTCAGAATAGCCGAACGTAGGAATTTAGCTCAAAATAGAATAACAGACCTGAATGCGATCAATAATGTAGAAAAAAGCTCAACTATTACAATCCATGCATTAATACACAACCACACAATAGGGTGGGGTGAAACCACTGTACTCAAGTCCAATATAATTAGATGAAGAGAGGGAGTGATTGATTACTGAATATTTGTTCATCGAGTCAGCCAATATGCAACACATGTAACAGAAATAGCACAACATTCATAGTAAAGATATGGAAAATTTTGCTGTCAACAGAAAAAATAACATTAGTTTTTAGGACTGTAAAAATCAGATGTTGAAAGTAGTGTGATAACATTGATATGATTATGAGCAATAGTAATTTATGCTCGAAAGGTCATCAAGTAAATAATACTAGATCATAGTGTGTTACAAATTATAATATGGAACTGAAGAATAACTGATGTGATTGTACTGATTGAATTTCGTCAATTGATTTTGTGATATCATCAAATGAACTCAACAGCATAATATTCAGTTGTTGATTATCTGATGGTGATCAACAAAATGTCATAGATATCTGTTTCCTGTTTCTGTGGTGTATTTGTAAGCTAGAGAAAACTTATGCTTTCTGATTGATGCGTACCCAAATGATTGTGTTTGTAGTTAAATAAAGAAAAGGAAATCACTAAGCTTTTAAGGTTGTATACGTCCTGGCAGTAGTGAATAATACGAGTGTGGCGGTGATGAGTAGGAGGTTATAAATTCCTCCTTTTCTCAAAAGTTCTAATGCACATTGAAAAAGTGTCAGAAATATTTTCTATATCAAAGCTTTTCTACCTAACAGAGATGGGTTCAGGAAAAGGTTTGTGAAAAAAATCCATGTTTACACGGTCACTGCGAGTAACTGTTCCTACCATCTTCCTGAAATGGAACATTCGAATATCCATTTTAGGGTGGGTATGCTGCTTAGGAGTTTAGTCTGTCTTGCGGTGCTTCAGCATGACATGGCTATTGAATGAGTGTGTGTGTGTGTCAAGATATCGAGGTCACAGATTTCCAGTTATAATTAATAATCTCGTAATACCGTTGATAATGTCTGTCTGTATAGTAGGACCATAGGGTGAGAATTGTTGGGGTCAGGAAAAGACAAGAAGTCAGGCCATAGGGCCCTGTCGCATATTCCGACTAACCTCTTACCTCAATACACACTTTACTACCTGGTGTAGGATTAGGTAAGAAGGAAGATAGATGTAGTTAGACCAAGAAATATCACCTATGGTTGAATAATCTTGGTTAGTAGACAGCTCAGAATCAACCACAGTAGTGGAGACGTATTTGTCCTTTGCCGTGTTTGAAATTCTGAACATCCTATTTACCTTCACTTATTCGCTATTTCCTTCTCTTCATTTTTTACTCAATAAGCCCAACATCTTTCTACTTCTCTGTCCGTCTTTTTTTCTTTTTACTCCATCATACTATTGTCTTCATCAGTATTTGTTTTTGAGACAAGATTAAAAAGACTCAACCTAGCACTCTTAATGACGACGCTTATCATGACTGTTGGTTGTCTTTCGTCCCCACCTTTCTATGTTCATTAGTGTAGGCAACTGACCTTCTTCAACCAGTGTGTTTAAATCCCACCCAGTCTACCGAGGTATAGCCAATCAGGTAGTATCATTAACCTATACATGACAGATATAGCTCATTGCCTACTGCAAAAACGTGCATATAGTTGCTGAGTCCCTATCTGTCATCACCATCTTTGGTTATACATAAGCTTACAGCCCGACAAGTTGATTTTTTCTCCATCCATTCTTCGCATCTATGTAAGTAAACATTGTGTCATATTGTGTAAGAAGTAATTGCTAATCCTTTCTATCTCTTCGCAGTTCATTGAAATACAGGACTTAGGAATTATGATCATCTTTCCTGAAACTGCGTCTCATTGGTCTAGCTTGTCAACTTCGAACGAATGAAAAGCTGGTTCGAACTTCCCTCCATTTACCCGAATTCGGCCAGCCATGTAGCATTATTATTCGTCTCATCATAGACATGACTCGTTCCTTATTGAGTTAAACACCAGAGTAGAAATCGGCTGATCTCACAGAGATTTTCAGTTATATATATATATATATATATATATATATATATATAAACATACATTGTAAAACGGTTTAAGTAGTATGTGTTTTTCTATCATTGAATTTCGCACTTCATCATGCTTTCTTTTTACTCTACCATTTATGAATAATGATAACCTGAACCCATACACTACTTCGCTGTGTTCTATATTATAATTCTGTTTTTCTGTCCTTATCGATTCTTCTAAGGGCAATGAAAGATAAAGGTCCCAGGAACTGCATCTCCTTACGCCTAATAACTTTTCTATTCCTTTTTTCTAGCTTATCATATTTAAACATGTACCGGAAATTATTAAAAGTTTAACAGAAGTTTACCCTAAATTAAAACTGGCTCAATTCATTGTTCGATTAATTACGCGTACACTGGAGAGTACTGAATTACCGAGTCAAAAGATACTAACTGAAACTATTCACTCAAGCCTATTCTGTGATCCACAATGTCGTTATCTGTTAGTGCCAACGATTCAGACTAGTTTAACGCATGTTTTCACAGAAAAATTGGATAAGGTGAGAATGATTTAAAAATTTGTAGTTTTTTAATCATTAGCTGACTTCAAATCTTTAAAAACTTGTTAATGTGATGCTTCAATATTATTTACTACAAATCACAGAATAATATATACTTCCTCCTTACTACTGTTCTAAGTAGTATAGGTTACCAATGATGATATCGGAAATTGGATACACTGTTTATAAATGAAGCTGTATCAACATTTGGAAAGCATAATAATTGTACATTTCTATAGTGTCAAAGTTTTATTGAGAATTGTGTATCTGAGTGAGTCGGTTGAGCAGTTGCCAATGAGTTACTACATATCAGTTATGTCCACGCATTCAGCCAGCAAAATTAGGTCGATAATAATGGAAGACCAACCGATGATCATGCTGAATAATGCACTAGAGTAAAGTAACCATGAAACAATAAATAGATGAAATAATTTAAAAAGCAGTTCAACTGACCTTAAGTTACTCCTCGTCCATCGGTCATTCACTTATCTGACACATGAGTACTTTGCGCCATTCAGCTTTTAACCACTTAGTCGTAGATAGTATAACTGACTCACAAATAGCACAACTTGTAGTATAGTACATAAAATTGTACCTTCCTTTCGATATTCATCATCATTGTTATTTGTAACTACTAGGTGACGTTAATCTCGGGAACCCTGGCTGATGTTAAGAAAGCTCTTGCATACCCTAGAAGAGGAAACAAAGTCCTTGGGTATTATTTATCACGGACTGGTATTAGTTAGAGGACGTTTGAATACATAGGAACTGTGGGCAGTCGTTCCCTTCTGGTATGCGACCTTCCAGAACTACACACCCAGGAAGACCCTGCCGGAGATCGAACTCATGACCTTCAGGTCTCACGGCGAACGCGTTGACCAAAGCCACTGGATCGAAGTTCTGCCGTACATGGTTCCCTACTTCTGTCAACTAGCGATTAGTGCTGCTGTCCACTAGGGTCTTAAGTTCGTATCATCGTCACTTTCATCTAGTTGACTCCATATGTCATGGTTCCGCATTAGAACTTTGGGATATCCATCTCAAAATATGTCACTAATGAACACTGTATTTTGAAGATAGTAGGGATTTTATTTCTCTTGATTAGTTAACGTCAGTTTTCTTTAGTACTTTATCCGATAGTTGGTTGTTAATCTTAATACATTATCGATTAAGGTCTGGATGTCAGGTGTGTTCCTCTCAACAATAATTCTCATTTTTGACCATTTCAGTTTATTGTAAATGATACTTTAAATTCCAGGATACATATCCTTTCCACGTCTGCATAGATCATAGGAATAAAAAAACCTATGAATACTAACAAGTCTTATTGTTTCACTGAAAATGTTTAAATACCGACACATAATAACCCTCTGATGCATTTAAACAGCCTCTTGTAAAAGTAGGTCTCATGTTACCGATGAAATTTAGTTCTGTGCTAGGAAATGAATTTTATTCATAATTAGGTAGTTATAATCAGTTAAAAACATCTTGATGCCTAACTTGTTTCAGTGTTAAACCTATGGGTATGTCTTGACTTCCACAACAGTTCATCAGAACTCAATATTAGAAATATCAGAGTAGAATGTAACAGCTTGATATAACTATCGAATTTCTTAAAATAACATCATATAGGAAGAAATAAGATGATAACTGAACGATTTCCTACCTACTGTTAGATGACGATCCTCCAAGAATGGTCTCATGCTTAGTTTTTCAAAATGTCAGACTATAAACTTTGGTTTTAGTCATGAACATAACCTATGTAAACTGCTTGGTTCTCATGATTCCTGTTCTGTTGATAGTTGTGCATTAGAGAATGTCACAATTGTGATTTATCTTGGTGTGTATTTTTCTTCGGACCTTTCGTGCTCCTCCTATATCTTACTAATTTCCAAAAGAATTTTCCACCTAACTTTCTATATTTAGAAGCTGAGAGTATCTGGTATAACCTAAGCATGTACTCTTGTGTTTTATAAACTCATTCATCTTGCCTGTTCTTCTTTATTGTTCCCGTTTATTTTTTCTCGGGTTATTGAAAAAGGACTATGCTGTGTATTGCGTAGAGCTTTTTAAAGATTGTCAACAGAACTAGTAGTGTACGTATAAAGCTGCTAGTTGAAACAGTTGTGGGTAAACATTAAATTATTTGAACATCTGGTTGGAGTTATTTTATCAGATGACTAGCATCCTCTTCACTCAAAGCTGTCTGCATGTCAGTCATCTGGAAAGACAAGGAGTAAGTACATAAGACTTTATGTACATACTACAAAACATAAAAACTCTACACTACCGTATTTAGCTCGTCTGCTGTGCGATGTATATATATATATATATATATATATATATATATATATATATATATATAATACATGAAGACTAATCTGTGAGGAAGATTTAACTTAAATAATAGGGGATTGAAACAATAACGATGGTGGTTATAGTTATAATAATGTTGCTAGTTGATGATGTAAAGGTAGAATGATAACAAAAACGGTTACATAAGATTTTAAATAGTCTATAAGGTGCATATAGATTAAAAAGGGGGGTGAAAATGTGATAGAGTTAATAAACAATCAAAGGATTAGGTAATATGAGTCAGCAGTCGGACCTCATACCTCAGTTGGTAGAGCACCAGGCCGGTAACTCGGTGGTCGCTGGTTCGAAGCCGACCGTGGTCCTGGTTTACATCTCACCTTCAATCATCACCCAGTACAAATATGACCAAGACAAATTGAGTGGAATAAATTGAAAATGTTTTGTTGAAAGTTGCGGTTATTAGGAAGATCAAATGAAATAACACCGGGAACAATTAAATGTAACAATAAAGTGATAATGACGGTATAGGAGTACAAAGATTAATCTGACTGATAAGAAAAGGGGGAAAGGAAAACAGGGAAGGAAGCACACCAAGACTGAAATAAATAAGGGCCAAGGTAGAGACAAAGACTGTACATACTTCTCTTACATACAAACGTCAGACTGGCTTCAGTTCATGGATAGCTAAGTCCTCTGCTGTTTTCAGAAATTGAACGTGGAGCAAAGGTGAGTGTTTGAGCGAATTCGATAGACAACCTTACAATCATTGTTTGGGTCGGTTGAATAGTTGGAATCGATAAGAAGTTCTATCCTTGAGCATTTAATCGATTCTATCCTTGAGCTCAAGGATAGAGAGCTCAAGGATAGAATCGATTAAATGCTCAAGGATAGAACTTCTTATCGATTCCAACTATTCAACCGACCCAAACAATGATTGTAAGGTTGTCTATCGAATTCGCTCAAACACTCACCTTTGCTCCACGTTCAATTTCTGAAAACAGCAGAGGACTTAGCTATCCATGAACTGAAGCCAGTCTGACGTTTGTATGTAAGAGAAGTATGTACAGTCTTTGTCTCTACCTTGGCCCTTATTTATTTCAGTCTTGGTGTGCTTCCTTCCCTGTTTTCCTTTCCCCCTTTTCTTATCAGTCAGATTAATCTTTGTACTCCTATACCGTCATTATCACTTTATTGTTACATTTAATTGTTCCCGGTGTTATTTCATTTGATCTTCCTAATAACCGCAACTTTCAACAAAACATTTTCAATTTATTCCACTCAATTTGTCTTGGTCATATTTGTACTGGGTGATGATTGAAGGTGAGATGTAAACCAGGACCACGGTCGGCTTCGAACCAGCGACCACCGAGTTACCGGCCTGGTGCTCTACCAACTGAGGTATGAGGTCCGACTGCTGACTCATATTACCTAATCCTTTGATTGTTTATTAACTCTATCACATTTTCACCCCCCTTTTTAATCTATATGCACCTTATAGACTATTTAAAATCTTATGTAACCGTTTTTGTTATCATTCTACCTTTACATCATCAACTAGCAACATTATTATAACTATAACCACCATCGTTATTGTTTCAATCCCCTATTATTTAAGTTAAATCTTCCTCACAGATTAGTCTTCATGTATTATATATATATATATATATATATATATATATATTTGAATGTACAGCTTGAGAATAAATTTGTTGAAAGGAGTTCTCTTTGCTAAATATCTGGTTTTTGATGTCACAATGGGAAGTATGAACGTACATGTACACTGTTTCTGTCCAACTGATGCTATATGACATGCTGGAAATTCTGTACAGTATTCCCGAAATAGGTTACACAATAAAGCCATTATTATTTGAAAATATTATTTAAGTACCAAATCATATATAATAATTATGAGCTGTTCTAATTACTGTCATACAGGTTTTTTAGAACCATATTTATTCACCAGTGGTTGTTTGTGTTCATCTAAAATAGTCACCTTAACACCACACTCTATATATGTTATCTCTCCTTGTTTTGTCTTGTGAATAAATTAGGTTCTGAATTCAAAAAGCAATGAGAACACAGCAATAATGGATGTTTGGTGTGATGTCCTTCTATCGTTTGTGGATAGTTTTACAAAAGCCACTACTACTGACATCATCAGCATGTCATCAACCAATCACAATACTAATAGTGTTAGTGCTGATAATTTCGATGAGGAAGGAGATGAAGATGATGATGATGAGAACGGTGAGCGCACATCTAGAATTTCACTAACGCCAACAAGAAAATCATCTTCTACTATTGTACCCAATTCACCGCATTGTGATGTCAAATCTGATGAAATCTTTTGTCTACTCATTAAGCGTAACTTTATCCGATGGACTATGCAACAGTTGGCACGTATTCTCATATTTATCCATCAGCGTAATTCCACTCTGTTGTGCTGTAATTCATTTCCAGTTGTTGGTAGTGATGCTAGCAGTAGAAGCAGCAGTAATAACAGCAGTTATTGTAGTCGTAGTGATAGTGGTATTAGCGGTAGTACAACATCACCATCACCAAATAAATTATTACTTCTGAAACCACCTATTCATCCATCTTATTATCGGTTACAACCAATCATGGTAGGTATATATGTTTAAAGTCAATCTGTCGTACACTGTCAGTTACTATTCATATTTTTGCTATTTGTATTAGAAATGAAATATGAGGCTTTTTCAATGGTGTAGTGTCTGACTATAGCACTGGGTGATGGAGGTTCCACTCTCTGGAGGAGCATGGGTGTGTGGCCAGATGCGTTTTCCTAACGAACCCTAACAAGTATGAAAACTAGTTGAAGCAGAGCCTCCCATCGATCGCGCAAAACCTGATAGGAATAAAGTGTAATGTCATAATTAGTCTCCTAGCTGGTTGATGACTACATTTCAAAAGGATTGATAGAAACTGAACAACAACCAGGACTTGGCAACCTCGAATTGATTACTATCCAGTGACAAATCCAATAATTGTCGACATTTTATTGTATACGGATTGAATAGTTACAGGGATAATTCAGTGGGCTAGTATGCATCATCTTAGGCACAGGTAGATGGGCCAATGTAGTCTCATTGAAAACAACGCATCCCAAACATTCTCAAATTGCCAGTCAAAGTGTCCAGAAGGCTCTGCATCTTGTCAGCCGACAGGACTATGTTATCTGCGTATTCTAGGTCTACCAAAAATTCTCCTTTGATCAGGTCAGATGACGAAAGGGAGACCTCCATAACAAGATCTATGATAAAATTGAATGGGAATGAAGAGAGTGGGTATCTTTGATAGACACCACTCGACGCACACAACTCACTTGATATCTCACCATAGGCTCTAAAATGCCCACAGGTGTTCGACTGAAGAGCCTTCAATAAAGTCACGTACTTACTGGGTACTGCTTTCAATGAGAGACACTGTCATGGGAGTTCTCGGTCGACAGAGTCGAATGCCGCCTTCAGATCGAGAAATACAGCCAGTGTCAGGCGTCGGTAAGCCTGCCTGTGTTCTAGAACCTGACAGAGTGTGAATAATTGGTCTTTACACCCACGATTAGGTCTGAAACCTACCTGGTTTTCTCGGGATTTCTGTTTCCGAGCTCCACTCAGGCATCTAATGATTATAGAACCTATAATGTTAGACACTATGATCTTCCGGCTGATTCCTCTGTGGTTATCACAAGAGGACTTCTCGTATTCCTTGAAGATCGGGATAATCAGTAATTGGAACCAGTCAGAAGAGATCACATTTAACTCCCATACACTAGTTTTTGAGCAGAGTTTATCGCTCATAACCATATGAATGTAATAATCACGCAACTTCCAAATTGCTTCTTATTTTGATATTTCAACAGTTTCTTATTTTTTTATTTTTAGTAGTAGTAGAATTCTCAATTTTTTTTCAGTGTGTGATGAATCATTCCCGTTACAATGCGTTCAGTGTTGCTTCAATGAACAAAGATTCGGTAATCACTCTCTCTTTCTCCATTTAACATTCTAGAATTGTCACCCTATCCCAACTTATAGTGAGATTATGGGTCAATGCATGCGGAGGGATAACCGAGTTTGTTTCTGGCTTACGTATCTTAATAGGATCTATCATTCCGTCTTTCTAGATGTTTGTGCTCCGCGATCGACTAATTTTATCTACATACTTGACATCACAATGATTACATGGCATTTGATAGATTAGGTTATTTTGCCTAATTGGATGTACTGGAGCTTTTAGCCTACAAAGGTCTTCTATGAGTGAGTTCATTGGCTTATATGCTACCTTAACTTCAGCACTGTTAAGAATCCTACGTAAGATTTCTGATACGCTTTCTTTGAATGACAACACTACAAAGGATTTGAATTCTCTTCTATGCATGTTGCTTAAGATTCCTTGTAAGTTTGTTTATAAAAATCCAGAAGATAATTTATAAGTAGTAATGTCGATTTAATATGTTTCAGTTCCCTATTCAGATCATCATTCAGACTCGTAACTCATTTATTTACACGTTTTTCCAAGCCTACTGTGATTGATATAGGGTGTGAGACAATATGAAATCCAACTATCTATTCGAGTGTAAGGGTTTCCCATGAAATCTGTTATCTAAACTGTCATTTTTTTTCGTTTACTTTTGGAATCTAACATGGTTATTCTCCCTTTTTCTGGATTTTCTGGTTCATCAGTCAACTAGATTGCAACTAGTACCGAGTTTATAAAGTCTGTATATGTTTTGTTTTACAGTACTGTAAACCAGTCATCCACATATCCTCTCTACCATGATTTTCGGATGGGTTGAAACATTTCTAATACCATTCTTTCCCAACTATCCACTTCTATCGGGAACATTAAAGATTCTATCACTGCTCCTTCTGTCTCTTTGTTTACTTATTTTGCCTTTAAGTTTGAAGTTTGGAAGTTTAACACAACCTTACCCTTGATGTGACTTTCTAAATCGAAGCTCTAGCTTTGTTACCGAGTTCATGGTCAGTTTTCCTTTCACTTTTTGACTTCCTTAAGTGCCATATTGATTGATATACTTGTGTGGAGGTTCGCCACATCGAAAGTAGCCACTTTTCCCTATCCTTTATTTATATATTGTCCAGTTTGTGTTTCAAATCAAAAGAATTGGTAGTTAGCCTAAACTTTGAGTGATTAATTTTATAATATTACAGAGACCTAGGCATCAGGTACATAGTCTGCTAAAGATTATAGACCGTAAGTATGGTATGTGCTTTGCACCATTAAAGTCCAGAGTACTCTTGCAAGATTGGCAGGAGCCTGTGCCTGTGCGCTCACCCTCAGTGATGAACCACTGGAAGTAGTCGGAAAGCTCGTGTATCTGGGTAGTTGTGTGAGTGCTGGTGGTGAAATGTCCAACTGCATGTCGAAAACCACAATGACATACACCAACCTGGGCCACCTTTGGCACCACTGCGACCTTAATCTAACTGTAAAAGGTCTGCTTTACAACACTTCGGTGCTAGCAGTTCTGCTCTACGACTGGGAACCCTGACCTCTCTGAGCTGAAGATGTGCTATGACTTTGTGTGCTCAGTTGTCTTTGTTTCCGTTAGATTGCTCCTATTCAAGAGATCATCCAACTCAGTGGCTCGAGACGTTATCAGATTGGCTGAGAATTGAAACTGGTGGCAGTCATGCTGTAGCTTCCTCTTATCTTCTACTGCTGAAAAGTAATGAATGTTTCGTTCCGAATGTACCTTACTGGAATGCGCTTCTAATCATTCTATTCTTATTTTGTTTTATTTTCATCCACACTTTGTGCATGCCGAAACAACGCATACCATGATATGCCCCGTCGGTTGCTTTGGGATTATATCTTTAAAAGAAGTCTATGGATGATAAGAACAAGAAGTTACATCTATCTGAGAGGTCGTTCACTGTAAGTTTGAGGTATCTAAGAAAGTGTAGACTCGATGCGACAAGAGAAACCAATGATTAAATAATCTGGGTATCAGAATCGTCTGCAGTGACGCAAACACACTCGTCTCTTACCGTACTCCTAATCGTACCATCGTATGTCTTCATTCATTTGATATTTTCGCCTCATTTGATACATTATTTCCTCCTTCCTCTTTTTGCCTTGAATGTGTTAGTATGCAGTTTTAGCACCAGTGACCAGGTCCTGTGTTCTTTCTGTTCGTTTATCTGATTAATATTAGATCATATAAATAATATAATTATACTGTATCTAATTAACCAATATATTTTTGTTACTTTGTAGGGTTGTTTGTCCACTGTCCTCTTTTCACTACTACGAATGTTAACAAAATCCAGTTGGATGGAATTTCTTCAGTCAGTATATCAAAGTGAAGAAGAGTCTTGTCAATGTACTTATTGTCATAATCTACAACTAGTGGATATCTATGATTTTCTGCACGAATTATTCAATATCTTCTGCTTAATGCATTTATATCCTGCCTATCCATCACCAATGTTCCAGTCTAGATCGGATAGAATTTGGGCAGTTGGTAGGTATTCATGGGATGATGGTGTTTATGATGATAGACGTTCAGAGAATTATGATCAAAAAGTGACGTTATCATTATCATCATCGTTACCATCACCGCATCAGAGTACTTCATCGAATATCTCCTCTGTAAGTCATCGTCATACTACAGTGTCTGCTGGTAATCATCAGAATAATGCAGAGTTATTCTCTCAATCTTGGATTGAAATGTTAGCATTGATATCGAACTCTGAGTTGGATGTTATTGAAGTACTTATAGAGTTAGCTATTAAACCATTTTTTGTCGATTCAAAGGTGGATAATAAGGTGAGTTTTGCAAAGTACATTTTTGCCTTCTTTATTTCCATATTATTATTATTGTTCTAGGGACAAAAATGATAACAGCAGGATTTCATGATTCCACAAGTTTCGATCGAACTTAGATGACTACTGTATATTTTCTGGTTATTTAGACTATTATATAATACAGGGAGGGATACATATATTCGAGCAATGACTTGTCGAAATCAGAAAATAAATTAACTATGACAAAATGAGTGTTCTTTAGCATCATGAAGTCGGTACTTCTAGAATTGAAGGGGGAAATGATGCTCATCCTCTATAATTCCAATTAGATATCGTGACTCATTGACTTAGGGGATGGTGTTCTGGTGTTTGGAGCGATCGACCCTGCGTTTTAAGCTCAGCGGGAACATTATCACCTCCTATGAGGCAGATACATTCAGCTGATGAGTCCCCGAAAGGACGAAACGTGCGTCTTTGATTCCACTGCTAGCTACTATCCATCATTGTGCATATCATTTAGAATTTTTTTTTTAAAAATTATCTGAACTGTAATCCATTCAATTTTCACGTACCTCAAATCTTCGCACAAGTGAACTAGACTAATCAAATTATTTTTCTTCTTTATTCTATTCTCCGCCTTCTTTTGTTTTAATTAAGTAGCATAGAGTATTCAACTGTAAAGTTCTAACGAAATTTGTGAATTTATAAAACTTAGTTTATTCACTTTTGTTAGCTGCTTTGAACTAGTATCAGACAAAAAATGTTTCCAGTTATTATTATTATTATTAGTAGTAGTAGTAGTAGCAGTACTGTGAATTTCTTTTCAAGAAATTTGAAAGCAAAATGAACTAGCGACTTCCCAACAATAAACCAAACGCTCCAGTTATGCGTAAAATCCAGAACACAGAATTTATCTGAAATATAATTGTATACTAATAAACAATATTGAACAATAAAACACAAATCTCGATTCGTGAGGTACCTGTGGGTTTATCGCTATTTAAGCACTTTACTAAGAGTGCATGAATAATAAAAACAGCAAAGCTTTGTCCGAGCAACCAGAAGGAAATATGAAAGATGTGTCAAGTTGTCATGATGAGGTAAAGACACAAGATAAACAAATATTCAAAGTAAAGTAGAACATCAGGGAACAACGAAAGAAATTAAAACACCATCATGAACTGTGGAAGATTCTATAGATACCATGGGGACGTTAAATAGTGGACAAGATACAAGAATGAACAGTTAAGCCTGTGGATGAAGGGATATTATAAGGAACTATACTACTCATTAATACTAAGTAGTACAAAATTTGAGATGTAAAAAAAGGAACACAACGACAACATCCCATAAAGCCAACATAAACAAGTAAAAAAGGAATTAATAAGTACCATATTAGTGATATTGTCTCGTTACGTTATGCCTAAAAATCTGTTAGACGTTCAGTTTGGAGGTTAGTAGGAATTTATTGATTTCACGGCGGTATTCGAAACTGAATTACTTAGTGACCAGTGCTCTTAAGTCACTTGTTTCGAGATGAGATTTCTCGAAGTCTTGAAAGCTTGTGACCGGTGGGGCTAACCGAGTCGAATGGGAGGACAAATAGTCAACGGTAGCATAGGTTGAAGGTTGCTCTATATCACGAATCGACAGAAGTAGGAAACTGTGAACCAGTAGCTCAATAGTAACGTGCTCGCTCTAACATCTGATTGTCCTGGTTTTGACCCATTGCGGGGTCATTGCATGAGAAGAGTACCATATTGGGAAAAACAGCTATCCAGTGGTCCCAGACTTCCAACCGTTATCCAACTGGTCTATGCCTATGACGAATACCATCTTGGAATTTATCAGTTACTTAAAATGCTAACTATGTAGTGGCGTATTCTTATCTCTTTTGAAAGCGATCTATTTGGAATCATTAACTTCATTATCATATGTCAGCAGGATGTATGCACTATATTGAGGAGACTTGGGTTGTCTCTTATAATGCAGCCTTGTGAAAACAAACTCGTGATGACTGCATAAACAAATCGACCATTAAATGATAACCGGGAGAAAGTTGTCAATGAAGGCACGAGACTTAATTTGCACCTGTTCAGTAATAATAGTTATAGTCATCAGAGTATAGATTTCAGTCTCCAATGTAATTTCATTAAACAGCCTTTCTCTTGTCAACTAAGAGATGGCAATTTTCTACGTTCTGAATATTCAAAGTAGGTTGAAGTCATGATGTATTTGGTGACGTTGTAAACCGACATCTTGTGGTATCCAGAACTCAGAGAAGGGCTTGCACACTCATGCTGTCAGCATCGAAGTATTTTCGAGTTGGACCACTGTAGTGGTGTATATATTTCCCAAAGAGAAGAAGAATTGAGAATTTCTAAACAAATTCATTTAGTGTGGTGTCTTCATTTGAAAAACATTGAAATATTCCAGAATTCTGATACAACAAAAAATCTCAGAGACTGTCAAACAGTCATGTATTAAATGTGTTTCTGTAAAATTCAACATTTCTTTGAAAAGTTTTCAATACTCGCAAATCTTCGTTATTATATTTAGGAAAACCGTTACTTAGGCATTTCATTGTCGGACATCGTTTGTGCGGAAATCGGCTGATCAGCTTTACTGCTTCTACACTATAATCTCTGTTTCCTACTTTTTTGTTATATCCTGGCCTTCTTAATTATTCAAATTTAAGGTTGTAACAAATTCGAACTATGGGTATGTTCAAACTTATATTTTAAACTGGGGATCCACAAATAGTAGTTGAATTGAGTACTCAGATGATACTTTCTTGTTAGGTGAAGACGCTGACTAAAATACCAGGGTCTTCTAAACTCGTTGAGCAGAAGTTTGAGTATGTTTTGCATGCGTTTCTTTGATACCTGTAAAATGTTAGCTGATACTCCATGACTTGTCTTCTGCAAGTACTCCCAGTTTGATGATGGGGAATTAAGTGGTGGACTGTGCTGATCACTTCACTCACTTGGGGAGTTGCATCAGTCCGAACGGGCTAGTTGCTGAAGAAATCTCAGCTTGGGTACAGAAGGCCAACTTGCGTCGTCAGTGGCGCCGACTGGTGAGATATTCGACTACCTATTAAAGGAAAATATGTAATGTCCTGTAGTTCGTTCTGTCTTATTATATGGTCATGAGATATGGCCATTGAAAGTAGAAGACATGAATAAAGCAGATATAGAGTTTTGGTCATAGGTGTCTTCGTAGCATTGCTCGCGTCTTGTGGAATCACCATGTTAACTGTGTAGAGGTTAGGCGAGAAGGCAATTCAGTGGCTTGAACATCTGTTGCACATGCCGATCCACCACCTACTTTGACGTACAATGCTAGAAGTGGGATGAGATTAGAAAAGAGTTCAGGCCAAGAAGTGGCACCAGTCCATGAAGTCGCTAACTGTTGGTTTGAGCTATGTAGAGAGGTATAGGCCGGCTGGTTCAGGTCCTGTAGATAATAAGGATAGAGGGTTGGAGATTGTTGCTGAAAGTCGGTCACAGTGGCGTTGATGTATCCACTCTTTGATATCTTCGGAAGCTTGAACATATTCACTTACCTGCATCTTCAGATTGTTCCTTTTCTCGTACACCCTTTTCTACTTTGATATCACTCTTTTTATATCCATTTGTTCTTTGAATTCTACTATGAATGTTGGTGAATTGAACCGATGCACTTATGTGTGAGACGCTGTATTTATTTTATTTGTTTGTTTGGTTGTCTGTCTGTCGGGTTGAATGATGTATCTCCAAGGCAATCTATCTCAGCAGAGTTTTAACTCTACATAAAAATCAACAGAAATTCTCTTTTTATAACTGTACAAGAACTACAGTATGAACTATACATCTGATAATTCCATCCCTAGTAATAAGGTTGAACTATTGTCATCACTGTTTTCCTCAGGTTAAAATTAACGATATGAGGTTTTAAGATATGTTTTTATTGATAAGTTGTTGATTGACTGTTCGCTTTATCGATTGTAGTCTTCTCCGTTCATGGGCAATGTTATCCTTTGTCCTGATCGACTTTTGTCGATGAAATACTCACTGAACTATTTGTTATAACATCGCTCTAAACTTTGTTTCAATTATACGATTCAGCTATACTGTAGCGTCTTGATCGATAGTTGCTATCTTGACCCGGTGTTTGAGCTTGCATGGCACAAGGAGCTCTACTGACTGAAAAGGTCGTCCCCTGAGACTCGACTATGCCAGAAAGCTCTGTTGGATGATATTAAAAGAAAAGCAATTAATACCAGTGTGAATAACTACGTTTTGATGGGATCCGAGGACGAAGTCGTACTGCTGGTTGGTTGGATGAGGGTATGACAGCAGTAAGGTGTTTTCTATGGATGACCAGCAGTTTATGCTAATGTTGCCTTCTGTTTGAGAAGTGAAAGAGGGGCTAGAAAAGTTTGATTCCAAAAAATAACGCATTCCCTATTTTGGTGCTGGTGGTATGGATTTCTACCGTCCTGCGTTAACACAATCAAATCTCAATTTAACACTTAAGAATCCCATATATAACCAGCCTCAAGCAGAGATGTCTCATGGACTATGCAATCACGCAGAGTATCTCAGAAACAAATTCCATGGTTTGAGCAACCGAGAAGTTCGAACCGCCTGCACGCCTACAACAGTATATAAAATTCAACTTATTATAGCCTGTTTTCCAGTCTCTTTCTGTACAGAGAGGTTAGTCGCAGTCTAGCATAGTTTAGGAAATACACTAGACATTTTTTAATGTCTCCTTCTTCATGTTATTTCTCTCTACAAATTTTTTTAGTTTTTACTGCCTTCCACACAGTCATCAATAACAACCGTAATCTGTCAGGCAGAACAACGTTTAACTACAGATTTAATTGAATTGCTAGCCCATTGTTTAACTGGATTTGCCGTGGAACAAGCTCATTTATGTGTAGAAGCAATGCCTCCGGTGACTAGAACACGTATCGATCAAAGTATAACTAACCAACGTCATCATTCAATTGATATGCGACAGAGAGCATGCAATCTACTTTTATCTCTGTGGTATTCGATTGGTAAGTGCTGATTTTTATTGGTCACTCACTTTTTGTTCGCATTAAACAATTAGTAGCGAAGATTAGCGCCTCACGTTGGAAAGGAGTATTGATGATATAGTTGACTTTTTAATTCAGCCACCCGCTATAGGTTTTGTATAACATTCTGCAAGACACTTGCCGTGTGAGGACTGCTGGTACTACCTAACTGCCCCAGACAAAAGTGAACGAAGTCGTGTTTCAACATGGGACTTATTGCTTAAAAGATAGGTGCTTATTCCAATGAGCCACACCTTAACATACTTTCCTGCGAACGTGTTATGATCAGACTAGATGACTTTGTTGGTGCTCAATATATGTTTAGGTGCTGAGCCTTAATCATTGCTCGTTCATGGTAGGGAAAAGTTGTTTGAGCCTGATATAAGTCTCCTCTGTTGTATTCATTGATATTTTTTTAACTGATTGATGAATGATTGTTCCTTCCGAAATAAACTTCATTTCTGTGTCAGTTGGTGTGTCTACATAACTAAAAAGTATCTTATTTTTGGGAACTAAATTTTGATTTTTGTCTTTTATGATTTCTACAGTTATCCTCATGTCAACAAGTACTGAGATCAGCGACACTGTACAATATCAGTCTACCTGTCAGCTAATGTCAATAATTTCTGATCAGTTTTCTGACAATCGGTTTTATTATCGAATTGATATCGACTACCTTTAAGATTGATTTTACTGACAGTAGATCGCCTAGTTTGTATACTGCTAACAACGATTGGACAAAAATGTTGACTAACTGGAAGTGAATGTTCCCTCTGTATGTGTGTGTGTCTGTCTCTGTCGTCTGTCTGTCCGTCTGTCTGTCTGTCTGTCTGTCTAAGCATACACAACTTTGACGAGCTAACTATATTTAACAGAGTCCCCTTCCTATTTCGCGATACCTGTTAACTTTAATCTGATTTAGAGGCGTTTGTCTCCAACAGAAATATGAATGCAGTTAAGGAATTCACTGCATTATGAAGCTACGAAATGCTTCTAATTACCGTTCCTTTGAAATAATAGTGAAACAAGATTGCCTGTTCCTATGATGGATGGGATCAGTCCACTGGATGTTTCATCCTTCTGTGTTGTCGGCCTTTCAGATAAAGACAAAATGTAGGCAATGAATTTCTTATTATTATTTATTGATATACTTGTAACTCTCCATTGTTTTACTGGGTCGAATTGTTCTACTCGTATTGGCATATGGGTTCCTATATGGTTTTCCAGTATTGCCTGAGTGTTAATTATGGTAATTTGTTTGATTGTGGCTAACGGAGGAATCCAGGACGCGCGTTTCCTGCAGGTACACCCAGCTGACAGGTCCCAAATAGGAAGAAGCGCGCATCCTTAATACGAACGCGAGCCGAGGTGTATACATTCCCTTATATGGTGCAAAACTATTTTAGTGAGCGTTGCTGATCAGAATGGATATAAGTAGTATATGTTGAGAGGGTGGCAGAAATCATAGGGAATTACCAGTGATGGGTAAAGATTATGTCCAAGAAACGCAAGAGACAATGTGGGCGTATTAAGAGCAAGTCAAGAAAGAAGCAGAAGGGGAAATGAAGCACATTATGCAAATGACTGTCTTAGTGGAAGGTGTATATAATATTTGATGACCACTGTACAAGATGTCAATAATGAACATTCTTTCCTGTATCTCCATCTTGTCGTTTTCTACAATTATTTACCTTTGGTGACTCCACCACAGTTACTGCTGTACCCATTAGCTGTCTGGTAGTGACCTTGGCCAGCTCATTAATATCAATGAGTTGGGCTGCGTTCACTAGTCGTAGTTGCTGGGCGATGGCATCCGGAACACTTTCGGTGAACTTTGCAGCCAGCAACTGCTCCTGTGAGTCTTCATCCAAAGTGAGAAGTCCTCGTCGAGGTAGTTTTGTCAAAGTCGCAGCCAATATCAGTGGATATTCGTCTATTTCAAGTTTCATGCTCCGTAACTGCTGTATCTCCAGCTCTGCCATCTGGGCTGTCAAACTCCGCCTCCAGTCGTTAAACTATTCTCTTCCAAGTCTCCTTCCCATCCACACGTTCAACGCCGTCTTATGCTGCTTTCGCTCTAACCCTCAGCAACGTACCAAGGAACACGACCTTCGCTCCTGGATCCCGGACACTCACCAGCTCCGCGACCGACTCGAAGTCCCTGAGGAAGACCTTGGTGTCTCCATCCTCGAAAACTGCAGGCGACGGAATTTTCATCATGTCCAGAAGCAGCGACATCAACTGTAGATAACAATAAGGCGAAAACGAAGGAAGGAACGTTCGTTATTGACATCTTGTACAGTGGTCATCAAATATTATATACACCTTCCACTAAGACAGTCATTTGCATAATGTGCTTCATTTCCCCTTCTGCTTCTTTCTTGACTTGCTCTTAATACGCCCACATTGTCTCTTGCGTTTCTCTGGACATAATCTTTACCCATCACTGGTAATTCCCTATGATTTCTGCCACCCTCTCAACATATACTACTTATATCCATTCTTATCAACTGCTCCCACTACAATACAATCAGTGACTTCGTGAATCGATATTACGTTACCTTAAACCTTTTCCTATCCTAGATCTACTTCAGCTAACATTGAACAATGAAGTAGACGGGTATCAAGGCATATGCGTAACACAGGCAAGCCACCTCGTATAATTTGCATATAATATTGATGCTCTTACTGTTATTGTCGTTATCTGTGCCATCACAATAATAATTGTTACTTTCTGTGTATAGATGATCGGTCGAAAATGAATTATATTCAAATTTTCCTTCCAAATGTTATTAATATGGCTACATTGCCACTTCCACGTAAGTTGTGCCTTAGTATTAGTGTTTATGATGATTAGTTTTCTTTGAATTTCTTTCTTCTAGGGTATAATTTTACTCATTAACCATATACACCCAATCGTTCATACCTGTGCTAATATCAGGTGTGAACATAAAAATTGTATGCCTAGACAGAAATATGCTCAGAGAGAAGTTTAGGTCCAACACACCGAGTACTTAAATCACTTAATGTTGATGCCACTAGAGATTTCAACTAGATAATAATCAAATTCTCTTCTCTGCCGAAACGTTTTGATGTTTATTCGCCTTTAGAAATCAAGATATGAGTCTGCTGAACTACTAGTCCGTACTTCTTATGACTACAGTGACGCGATCTGCCAATTTTAGGGAAAATTGCGTTATCCTTTATTATAAATCTTCTGTATAACTGCCTAGCGTTATTATTACTATTATTATTATTTGGCGCCCTACAATTCTCCGTTGTCATACCGGATCGAATGGATTGGCCATGCACTGAGAAGGCCGACTGAGGACATCACGCGTCAGGCCAGGCCCTCGAGTGGAATCCCCATGGGCAGCGACGAGTTGGACGTCCGAGGGTGACATGGAGGAGGTCGTGCGAGGAGGAAATGAGAGGTTGTGGGCTGTCGTGGGACCAGGTTCAAAAGATCTCAGAGAACAGAGGTCACTGGAGGCGTGCTACTGAAGCCCTATGTTCCACTAGGAACCCAAGGGACTAATAATAATAATAATACCGGATCGAATTGATTGACGTTTGTTGGCAGATGGGTTACTTATGCGAATGCCTCGATGCTGTGCGGATACTCAATGGAATCCAGAATGCACTTCTCATCTTATTTAGAACTCACCAACTGGGTTGAATATGTCTGCACTTCATTGAGTGATGGTATTCCGACTTGAACTCGAACTGTATACCCGTTGCTTCAGACGCAAGAGTGTTACCCACAAGACAATTGAGGCATGATAGCTAAGGGATCTGAATCTCAGGGGGAACACTATTACTCACTGGAGTGCAGGTACATCCAGCTGAATAGTCCCAAATAGGACGCAACGCGCTTTCCCGGTTCCATTAACCATTACCAGGTCAATTGTACTACTATTTTAATTTTAATTTTATTATTACAGAAATACGTGAGATGTGTGTTGATTGCATATTGAACGCATTGACTATTCATTCTCCTACTGTGGAGCATGTATTTGTCAGTGAAATTGATCGTGTTGTCCAGTGGGCTGGTACAGATTTTGCTGCAGATATTCGTGATCTTTTACAAAGTCGGTTGTTAAACAGTCAAAATGCTCTGCCAACAACACCTCGTCGTACTACTTCAACCGAAGATGTACATATGGATCATAGACAACGTGTAATATATGATTTCAGTAAACAGATTGATTGTCTACTACATTATGGTAAATTTATTAATCATCCATCACAAATGAATGAAATGTTGGCATTTTGTAATTTAAGGGTAAGTTGTTCTGTGTTGTGTTACTTTGCATAGGTTTAAGCCATTGAATTTTCACTTATTCTGTCTGCCTACTGATGAGTAGTAAAATTCATATCATTTAGGATTTCTCGTCACAGTTAATCCTAACTAGCAAAAGTCTTTCGGTCACATAATCTACTTCCATTCATTTAGCATCGCCATAACACAAGAAATGTTGTCGTTCATTCCTCATACAGAATCTAATCTTACTTAATACATGTATGTTTATACATATATACTTGCTGTGTTCTTGACTACTCTAGGTATACAGATTCATACATTATTCCATCAGTGCTCGCTAGCCTAATGAGGCTATTAATAAGGAGTCAGTGGATCACGAGTTTGAGTTTCTATCTGACTATTGAACTTTGTATGACAACGGAGTAAGATAACACGATATGCAGTACACATATTTTGATAGACTAATACGTGAGTATGAATTTGCACTGTAAATTAGGTATCATCTGCATCAATTATATCGTATTGTGGATAAAATACTGAACAGTTGCAATGGATGGTCATATTCCCAGTGTTTTGTTACTAGATTCAGTGATTTTATATGCTGAAAGTCTGTGTTGAAATAGTGGAGAATATTTGTAGCTCCGGTGGATGGTCTTGGTTGTATTGTTTTCTCTGGGCTGGGTTATTTAATCGTGAAGCTTTCATCGTCTTTCTGAACGACATCATCACCACTAACTTCAGTATGAATTGAGCTGTCAATATCTCTCTGTGAGTGATTTAGTAACTTGCTCCGACGACGTGGTCCGTGATTGGTTGCTTCCTTTGATTGTTGTGCAATTGACTGTATAGATTTTCTTGTTGACTCTGCCTCCCCTTGGCCTCTGACCTTTCTGTCGTTTATCATTTTCCTTATTAGTTGATAGACTGGCTCAATGCCTATACATCTATTGATTTCTGATCGACCTAAATGCCAAGCTTCTAGGAATTCTCTGATATGATTTTTGTTTCCTCTGTCCAAGATCTCTCTCTACATTATCAAAACTGATTTCATGTCAATAGTTGTTATCCACGCGCGTTGAAATGAGTAATGAAATGTCGTGACATTTAATAGCCTATTAGTGTTCATGTAGACGGAGACGGAGAAGGCGGCCACTTTGTCCAATGTCGTCATCATCATCAATATCGTCGGACGTCAAGTCATCATCATCAATCAATCAGTCAACATAGGACCAGGCATTACTGCTTAACGCTCCGAGTTGCCACAGCTCATATCAGTACATCAAGTAGAAAGGTAGTGAGGTGAAGGATGAAGATAAGAGAACGCAGTCAAAGAAATGTAAAGTACGAGAAGAAAGAAAGGAAAAGTGACAAAATAGTGAGAACCGGTATAGCGTCGTTAAGATAAGGATAATGTGTATACATCTGCGCCACTGACATCGGTTCTCAGCCATATCACCTAGGGTCTCCAACCACTGGTTCCTCTTGTCCCGCGGACCCCAACCACCTAGTCTGCATCGTCCTACATGGCTTAAACCAACAGTCAGAGACTCCATGCATTGGTGCCATGTTTTAGTCTGGCCTCCTAGGACTTTTTTCCAGCCTGGGCCTACTTCAGCCAACATTGTGTGACGAGGCAATCGGTGACTAGGAATACGTAACACGTGTTCCAGTCATCTCAATCGATGAAGGTTCATAACCTCATCAACTGATTTACCTCTTCTCCCTAAAACTCCACACCTGACTTCTGCATTACTCACATGGTAACACCACGGAATACAGCTTATACTACGAAGCCAACGGTGGTCAAACACTTGAAGCCTTCTTATATCTTCCACTTTCAATGGCCATGTTTCACAGCCATACAGTAGAACAGACTGGACTGCTGTGCAGTACACACGACCCTTAATAGACAAATGGATATGACGGTGGCGCCATAGGTGGTGTAAATTGGCCAAAGCCAATTGAGCCTTTTGTATCCGTGCAGAAATCTCATCGGCAACTAACCCACCAGGGCTGATCCTACTTCCCAGGTAGGTGAAGTGGTCAACACACTCAACCACATCACTCTCTATTGTTAGCCGTGGCACCGCTGAAGACCAGTCCTGGAACAACAATTTGCATTGCGGTGGTGAGAACTGCATCCCAAACATTCTCAAATTCCCACTCAAAGTGTTCAGAAGACTCTGCATCTTGTCAGCGTCTTCATCTAACAGGACTATGTCATCTGTATATTCTAGGTCTAACGAAAATTCTCCTGTGATTAGGTCAACATCTGTATAACTTGGTGATGAGAGGGAGACCTCCACAAGAATATCTATGATAAAATTGAATAAGAATGGAGAGAGTGGGCATGCTTGACGGATACCACTCAATGAGCATGGCTCCCTGGACATCTCACCATAGGCTCTAACACTCCCACAAGTGTTCGAGTAGAGAGACTTCAATAAGGTGATGTACTTACTAGGCACGCATTTCACTGAGAGACACTGCCATAAAATTTCTCAATCAACGGAGTCAAATGCTGCCGCCTTCAGGTCGAGAAATACAACTACTGTCGGGCGTCTGTAGGCGTGCCGTTGTTTCAGGACCTGACGCAGTGTGAATATTTGGTCATACGATGCCTGTCCAATACATCATCAACTACAAAGTCATCGACAGAAATCAATAAACACATCATCCTACTGTACATAAAGAATATATCAGAAATCACGACAAGATTATTGAGACCACTTGCGTTTCCTCGCATCTGCTGGTAGTCTTTCGTAGAAGGATGTAGGAAAGGTCCAGTTTTTGACTTCGTTGAAAATACAATGCATACGGCTTTTTAAAAGTGACATTTTGATCCTTTGTGATATATTTACGCGGTACTAAGGCACTATTTTTTGCCTTCCCACTCATAAGTTTGTTTGATTGTCCACACAGTTCCTCCCATCCTGTCATCCGTGCCATCGACAAGTTTATCTCTTTGGTGTGGCACTGTATTCGAAAATGGACTTGTTCACAGTCACAATACCAACAGTCGAAGGTTAGTTGGCGTAAAGTTACATGGCCTAAAAGTTTCTCCAAACCAAACACAGTTTCTTCATATCTATCTAGACATAGTTAGTCTTCTTCCACTATCTGGTTGGTGGCTTTTCTTTTCTTATTACTTGTGTGGATGTGTTTACCCAGTGAGCTGATTTAATGACTGAAAGATTAATTCGCACTTCTACCATAACGAACAGAGGGCAACAATTCAGATTTTTCTTCTCCAAGCTGCTAGTCCCATTGCTATCTAGATGCCTCCAGATCACCGTGAATCATGAAGTTAGTTAGTTACTCTGTGTGAGTGTTTAGCAGTGACCCATGATTCACAATTCGAGTAAAGCTTTGAGTTATATGGGTCTACAATCAGTACTTGGAGTGACTTTAAAGGCCACCCTAGCAGTTGCTGAGTTGACTAACCAGGCTTCTGTATTTCACCTGGGAAAGTACTTTTCTATAAAATAAAGGAATGTGATTGGCTGTCTCACCAGTTGCTGGGGTATCCATTAAGGTCACTCAGTATTTGACACATTTTGTGTCTGTTTTAAGTTTCTTTATTTGATCATATCTGGTGATCCAAAACTACTTATGGTAATGATTATATTAGAGAATTTATTCAGATAATTGTAATATATTACTAGCATTCTTTGTCGTAGAACTGATTGTCTAATATAATAGAAGTTGGCGTTAGTTTCAAGTTATGATCCCAGTACTTCACTAATTACTAACTGAGACTTGTTATCCAGAATTTCACAGGAAGAAAAAGACTTACAGTTGTTGTTTGTATTAGCGAACTGTCCGAAAACTCGGATGGGTGTTAAAATTCACGCAGTGCACCGGTATTCGGCTTTGAAAAGGCTTTCAACAGCGTCGACCGAGAAGTAATTTGGCGGCAGCTGCTTCAACACTACGGAATACCACAAAATTTTATCAATCTCATTCAACAACTATATGAAGACGCAACATGCCAAGTAGTTCACAATGGGAAGCTCAGTGACGCCTTTGAAGTGAAGTGAAGACAGGAGTAAAACAAGGCTGTCTACTATCACCGATCATCTTCCTGATTGTGGTCGACTGGGTCAAGCAACAAACAGTGGGGAGTGAGAAGAGGGGATACACTGGCTGGACCGGGGAAAAGAACCTAGAAGATTTGTATTTCGCCGATGACATGTGTCTAATGTCACACAAACTCGAAGATCTACAGGCGAAAGCTAACAAGTTGACAGAAGAGGCAGGGCAGGGCAGGGCAGCGAAGATGGGACTTCAAGTGAATGTAGAGAAGACGGAGGTGATGAAGATACCCAACGACAACAACAACAAGCATCAATCACCATCAATGGGAGAAACTTACCCTCTTTCACCTATCTAGGAAGCACTGTTTCAACTACAGGTGGTGGTACAGATGAGGACGTCAAAGCCAGCCAGGATCAGAAAGACAACAAGACAGGCGTTCATTAACCTGAAACCGGTGTGGAGATCTTCTGCACTCAGCATAAAGCGTGAACAATATCCGAATTTTCAACACCAACATCAAGTCAGTGCTTCTGTATGGTTGGGAGACTTGGCGTGTCATGAAAAGCACTTCCGACAAAACAACAGACATTCATCAACAACTGCCGCCTACGCTGGCTCGATACTGACACTGAAGCTCAGATGGCCAGAATAATAAGAATAATCAACAAGGAACTCTGGCTGACTGGCAACGAACCAACCAACAACCTATCACCCAACAAATATGCAGTGGAAGGAAGTGGAGATGGACTGGGCATACACTGAGAACGTCGACTGGGGACATCACGCATCAGGTCAGTTGCTCTAGTGGAACCCCGATGCGAAACGACGAGTTGGGCGTCTGAGCGAGGGTGACATAGATGAGATCGTGCGAGGAAGAAATGAGAGTTTGTGGGCTGTCATGGAGCCAGGTTCAAAAGTTTTGCAGGGAACAGAGTTCACTGGAGACGTGCTACTGAAGCGGTATGTTCCATTAGGAACCCAAGGGATAAATAATAATAATATACCGGTATTCAGACAAATCGATTACACATTCATGAGTAACTTTAAAAGCCACCCTAGCAACAACTGATATAATCAATTAAATTTCTCCATTTTATGAAAATCTGCTTTCCTAACCGAAATGGAGAAACCTGATTGGTTATCACGATCGTTGCTAGGGTGGCCTTTAAAGTCATCTCGTAGAGTGATTTTAATAGCCCACTCTAACCGATATTGAGATAACTATTTGGAGATCTGTAAATTGGTCATTTCAGTTGTTACTAAAGTGGTCTTTAAAGTGTCGCTGTTAGATGTATTACTGAGAAAAATGACTAGATAGACGTTTACCATTGATTCATACAAGGGATATATAAGTGGAGAGTAGGCATTACAATTATTGATCACATCCAAAGGTGTGTGTACATATCAACTTACTACAGGGAGACTTTAAAAACCAGTGTAGAAATTGCTAAGATAACCAAATACGTTTCTATATTTTATGCAAAACTACCTTTTTGACCAGAATACCGAAACATGATTGGTTATGACAGCAGTTGCTGGGGTAATCTGTAAAATCAATCATCACTACAGGTAACTAGTGTCTCCTTGAGTGCTTAAATGTATCTATTACTGTAAAGGGTGGTGGATGGAACCATCCTGATTACATACTAACAAATTGTTCACTGTTCTAGTGGAAAATAACCTATCCTGTACTATCTATAGAACGGAAGAATTCCGAAATCTATTACAATATATCTTAATAGAATGAAAAAAGTGGTAGTTTCAAGGTGTTTGCTGAATTGCGATATGTGACGGTGAACATATATTGATCTAAGTCGATAGTTCAAGCAATACTTACATTTTTAATATGAAAGCTCAACAGAAAACAATTTCTATAATATAGAGAATTGGTAAGAAACCCTTGACCTAGGTTTTTTTGTTTAGTAGAACTCATCAGCAAGGGGTATCTGCAACCTCAATGGAATTGATGTCCTACCTGAGATTCGAATCCGCTTCACTCATTTTTACAGTCAGCGACGTTACCACCGAGCCATTCGGATCGCGATTGATCTCCTATAAGACTGAACTGTTTATATTGATTAACCACTGGAATGCAACCAATTCCATCTTGTCTAGTTTTGAGTACTGATTGGATTTCATTGTCTTTTTATCATTTGCTGATAGTTGTATTGCATCTTATTATGTATATATGTGTTCTCTTTGCAAACTTTACAGAAGTTTTATGAATCTATTAATCGTAAAGATATGATTCTACGCTACTTATATCGGCTGGATCGATTGCATGCAGCCTATTCCAATAAAACAGAACGCGGATACACTTTGGAACTTATCAGTGAAAATTACTCGGTAAATATCTTTTTCTTGTTGTTTTACTTTCTAGTGATCTTATTCATCTTCAATTTGTCAAACTGTTTTATTTAAAGTAGTAAACTGGTATAATACAAGTGCCAAGAGGTGCATCGTGCAAAATCACATAGTGACACTAAAAAGAAAAAAAAAAGCTTAGTAAGGAGGAAAAACAGGATGTAGACGAAAGTAGAAATCGGTTATTAGAATAGCAGTCTCAAAGAGGTACTCACTACTTTCACCTTACTTCTCAATATTAGAAGAAACGAAATATCTGCAGCATTATCTCCACTCGTTGCAGTTCTCAGCCATGTTTGTTGTTGTCTCAAAACATTGAGTTTCATGACCTCTCGAAGCCTATCTAAGGGGTTGTGAGATGCTAGCAAATACCAACACAGTACAGCTATTTTTCATGGTGCAAGCGAACGGTGAATAGTATGGGAACTGCCGAAACGACATAGGTAAAACGCATGCCCAAGCTACTGAAGCCAGTGTTTTAAGATGAGTTCATTCAATGAATGAAAAGCTTCATCATTCCCAAACACGCGCCGCCTCACTTCACAGCTGCCTGCATGATGTTACCACCGTACTACAGAAAATACACAGACAGTGGTGATCGAAAACGCAGAGTCTTTGGACATCCTCAGCTTGGGGGTGTAGAGAAGAACTACTTGCACTATGTTGTATTCCACACGACTACCCCAAAGGTGATCCAGATTGGTATATACTGCTTTAACTTTCAGTCTGCGGTTGGAAAACAATTCAGTCACACCTCTATCAATCCTCACACAACGACCCGGATGCAAGAACTTCCCGTCTAGTTCCAACAGTTCACCACCAAGGATAAGCACAGGTACAGGCTCTTGTCAGTCTTCTAAGAATTACTTTACACTTCGGTGACAGGAAGCACATAACATACTTTCAGACACTGATCACCAGGTGGTTAAATGCTCAAATGTTGTTGCACAGTAAAACTATATCGTCTACATGCTCGACCTTCAAAATTTTCTCACCTGTTAGCAGCTCTACATTACCGAAATGCTCCACATCTCATTCAAAGCTATCTAGAGAATGTCATCGATGGAAAAGTTAAAGAGAAATGGCGAGATTGGATTGGGTTTTTCACATGTTAACAAAACTCTCACAGCTCTATAACAGACAGTTCCTAATTACAGCCTTGTCAAAAGATTCGAAAGCAACCCTAATATCGAGAAATACAACGGTCGTTGGCCTGCAATACGTGTGACAGCATTCGAGCATCCGATGAAAGGTGAACACTTGATCAGTTCATCCATGACCTGAAAGAAGCCTGGCGTGTACCTTTTTTATCAGTTCTGCACTCCTATATTAACACTTCTGCACATGTTTCACAGAACCTTCAAGGTGTGATAGCAGCTTATATCTTAGAAGCGACTGGTAACAGACTGATATCCTGATGACTAACAATTAAGTTACGTAGATTGTTTTTAAAGATAGGTATGACGATTAATTCGTTTTAAAATGACTAAACACTCAGTCTACCAACGTATTCAGTTATTTGACTACAGTATCACCTCCACCCTTGTAAAATGGTCATGGGTGGGTTATTTCGGCCATATGGTTTATATTACCTTAGTAATTGAAGCGCTTTATGGACCTCCGCTTTGTTAAGTATGCCGATGTCAACTTACTATGGAGCACAAGGCAGTGAAGTCGATTTTGCTGGAGTAGTAGACCAGCTGAGTTGAATTTCGAGATGTTTCACCCAACCTTCTATGTGCCTGAAAGATTGCAGAGTGGCGTACCATCTACATCACAATCTGTTGTACTGACCTAGCTTCTTTCGGCTGGTACCTTGAGTGAGCTGGAACAGCTTGCGGTTATTTCTGGATGCAACTCCTGCTTCCACCTCACTCACACGCTCTGACCATCAGATCTTGTGGTTCTTATGTAAATGGTATGTAATCTGTCTTTTGAAGGAAATCACACATACCATCTGCCGGAATCAACCGATGAGCGTCGAGAAGTTGCAATGAGCTCACAGCTACTGGTTTTGATGCTCGTATTTTTTTAAACGCCACAAGTAGCTTTATTCACCATTTCTATCGCTTCTAATTCTTAACCACCCATTCTGAAGGTTCATTAGCTAGCCTTTGATCTAGCACGGTTTGCTATTTTGTTGCAGTACTGGGAGCAACTAATTTGCTTGAACTAACCCACTTAGGATGATAATTTTGATGAGTAGCAAAACACAAAATGAACTTATCACACACTAAAGCGTGATTAGCATCCAGGAGGAGATGCAGTCTTGAATGCACCCATGTCGTCGGTAGCTAGTGGTGATGTGATCTGTTTGAGTCAGGACTTAAAGATTAAGTCAGACATTACAACATCAATGAGTGCTCTGGAAGTTGAGGCTTCCTAGAAATAGATTGTGATCTACAGACAGTTGCAGAAGACAGTGTCTATTATCTGGCTTACGATCGACTAATCTCCTTCAACCACCTAGACGAACCTCTTCTAAGCCTAGGCACTTTACCTTTGCATTCACATCCCTAGCTAGTTCTGCGATATCTGTTGAGCTCACGTGAAGAGTAGATCGTCCATTTGATGACTGAGTTCGTCCCTAACTTCATCCGGGTTACAATCAGTTGCAGTAGAGATGAAGAGAAATCGCTTTCCTTGCCAGATACTTCCCACTCTGATCGAATCTTCTAGCCCAACATCTCACAGATGGCTGATGTTAATCCTGTCGACCAGCATGGGTTCTATTCCGGCACTTAGCGCGACCCCAATGCCAATAAAGCCAGTTGCAGGTGCCACAGGATCCCCGAACAAGCATATTTTACAAATGTTTTGGGCTGAAGGAGGAGGAAGTTTTTTGAAGTGCGTCACTGAGATCTCGTATGAAAGTCTTTGAATTACAGCATACAACAATAGTGAGGTCTCCCAGGGTCTTAAAAAAACCTATCCATGGTCCGATCTTCATCATTGTCCAGACGTCGATGGAAGCCAACTTAAAGGGTATGCGTGCTTTCAGAGTATAACACATATCTCACTACGACACATCTTTAAAGCAGCTGTTTAGCAGCTCAAGAAGTCATACGTAGGTCGGAATTTTAATCAATGATAGCCAACTGAGTGAAACAAAGGTATCAAGAAAGACAAATTTGAAAATGATAGGGACTAAACGGTATAGTCCATTTCAGTAAAGCAACATGAGTAATTTTCTGCATCTACCAGATCTATCGATCCAAGTCAGAATGATTTATACAGTGAAATATTACTGTTTTACACTAGTTTGTCACTAGTAGGTAACTGATGTAGCCATCTTGTTCTTAGCGGTCGGCATTGACCGACATAGTCACTGAGCTGAATAACGCGACAGTGCGGTGCACTGTCTTTCGGTATTAGATACTAGGAAGCAACGAGAACAATAGGTGTAACACTCCAAGAAGCAGTTTAACCGACCTTCACCTACTGCTCATTTCCCCCCTACCCAGTTGAATTCGGAGTAGAAGTAGGGTCTCCAACACCTACAGAAGTTGAGAAAGCTATAAATCACCTGAAACTAGAAAGAGCAGCCAAGACATTTAGGATGACGGTCGTGTGTAATTGGTCAGGCTTACTGAGGTATTAGCTAGCTTATTCAAAAGAGATACGATACCCTCTGACTGGTCCCAATCCTTTATTGTCCCAGTCTTCAAGAAAAGTGACATATCCTCGTGTGATAACCACTAAGGAATCGGTCTGATGAGCATAGTGTCTAGGATTCTAGATTCTATAACCATTAAATATCTAAATGAAGCTCAGGAACAGCAAATGTAGTAAAACCAGACAGGTTTCACACCTGACTGGGGGTATATCGACTAGATATTCATTCTGCACCAGCTTTCGGAATACAAGCACATTTACCGACACCAACTGTATTTCTCGACTTGAAGACGGCATTATAACTAGTCAATAGAGATACTTTATGGCAGTTTTTCTCACTGACAAGAGTGCTGAGTTAGTGCATCACTGTTAAAAACTCTGTACTCGAACATCTGTAGGCATGCCGGAGACTATGGTGAGTTGTGTGCGTCGAGTGACGTCCATCAAGGATATCCATCCTGTTCATTAATATTCGATTTTTTCATAACAATGCTTAAAAGGGTTCTCTGTCCCAGGTAACTCCTTAGTGGACCTAGAGCATTCAGGTGATATAGTTCTTTTAGGTCAAGATGGTGACAAAATATAGAGTCTTCTAAACACACTTATTGGTAATTTGAGAGTATTCGAAATATGTTTCTCACCATTAAATGTGAAATAATGTTTCAGTACTGGTCCGTGTCGAAACCTCGTCTAACAATTGAGAATGAAGCGGTTAGGCTTACTGTGCACTTCATTCAAATTAGCCCTGTTTGCTTAGGGACCAACGAAATCTCTACTCGGATACAAAAGGCCTAACTTACTTTTGCCAGTTCACGCCATCTGTAGCACTGGTGTAATATTCTGTTGCCAATTAAGGGCTGAGTGTACTGCGCTGCAGTTCGATCTCTTCTACTATATGGCTAAGAAACATGACCATTAAAGGCAGAAGAAATGGGAAGACTTCAGGTATCCAACCACCACTGCTTTCGTTGCGTAGGCTTTGTATCATGGCGTCATCACGTTAGTAATGCAAAGTCAGGTGTAAAGTGCTAGGTATGATGAAAAATTCAGTTGAAGATGCTGTGAACCTCCATCGACTCAATCGTTGTTAGCTGAAGTAGGTTCAGGTTGGGAAAGGTTTAACGAGATAGTCGGAATAAAACATATTATCACTGTGTGAAACCTTAAACTGTCAGTCTGAGAAGTGTAAGGGGTGTAGACTATCCCTTACGAATCCGCCTGGCAACCGAAATTGATGATTGGAAACTGGGTGATATACCTCAGAATTGGTCACAATAGCACAGATATACGAATTCCGATGATCATTACTGAAGGTAGAGTATTGCTAGCTTACTAAGTATTTATTATTTCTGCCAAGACAGTGCCTAATGATGAAGTGAGATTGGTTTATCCCATGTTTAGAACATTCAAAGCGGAACGGGATTTTGATGGTAAGAAGAACTGATGAACCCCAGAAAGGGATGAAACAACTTCTAATAAAGTCGACACTTCGCGTTAACTATACTCATCATCGTCATCGTATTTCTTCTTGATATTCATAGTTTAACTTATTGGTTGATAATTGTTAAAGTTTTTGAAATGCTTCTTTCTATTTTTTTTACCAGTGGGATGAAAACAGTGTTGATATCAGTGATGTTTCTCCACATTATGTTCAATATGGGCAAAATTCTTCACGAGAATTACGTGAACGTCTATTGATGGATAGTTTTGAATATTTAAAACAAGGCACAGATTGGGAGCATGCAATTGAAATATCTAATAAATTAGTTCATTTATATCGTGATATTATGCCGAATTATGAACGTCTTAGTGAAATACTGGTAAGCTGGATATTGTATTGATAACAATCATGACAACTAAGTGATTAGAAATTCCTTTTTTTTGACTACGCTATGTCAGATAGCTATGGTTTAGCGGAATGATCCCCATGGTATGGGGATGATGAACGGAATGAATAGGAGTCTAGGTTTTTATAGGGTTCGATCTAGTGACCTCTTTATGTTTTCTTCTAGTGTTTGTTTATTATGCCAGGTGATGACGGAAAGTGACAACTGAATTAAGATTTCGTAACTATCTTTGAGAGGTGATTCCTGAAGTTCCAAATGAAAATTCGTGACCAGTGGAGCGAACATGCTAGACGTGAGAAGAAATATTCAACGATGCCATTCGGTGATGGTTGCGATATGGCCTGAACTGACAGAAGTTAGAAATATGAACCAATGGATTCTGACCCAGTGCCTCAACGGCAACGTACTGGCCACAGAACCTGAAGGTCGTGGGTTCGAACCCTGGCGGGTGGGGTTGTAGGTGCGCACTGCCGAGGAGTCCCATGCTAGGACTGGAACAGTTGTCAAGTCATCCTAGGTTTTCACTGGTTCCCCAACTAAGGTCAGTCTATGATGAATACCAACTTGAGATCAGTAAATCCCCACTAACCCCCCATATCGAAGCTAAAAGTTGCCAAACCAAGACAGCAGCAATCCGTAGATTCTCTCACCGTTAGTCTGATTTGTATAGGAAAGTGTAAGCTGATACCAGACTTCCTCTTTGTTTGATGTTTTGAAGTTCTATAACTTAATGCACATCTGCTAATATAAATTACTTAAGTTATTCATGTTGGAGAAATCGTTACGAACATGAAAGATAGACGATATTTATGATTATTAGATGGCTTGAAGAGTAAGGTGGCAAAGTTCTCGTAATCGACTTAAGTTTGGAACAAAAAAAAATATTCAGGATAGGACAAAAGTTAGCATTTTGACTACCTGAGATAGCCGTCGTTTGCCAGATACGGAGTGATGATTGAAGGTGAAATGAAAGTTTGGACGACTGTGGAACTGGAGCCAACGACCATCGGGTATTTCACTTATTGTTATGGATTAGTAACTGTAGAGTCTCGAATTGTAATCTTATTACTTCGACAAAGCAAGGCTGACAACTGTATCTTTTTGAACATATAATTTTCGTTTAAGTCTCTTGATGGAGTGCTATTTAACTGTATGAAAACTATGTTCGAACGAAAAACTTGAGTAGTTGTTCATTGTTGAGAAATGGTTATCTACAATAGCTGGTTGATAAATATAGTTGAATATTACCATGAATACCCCAAATCCATCCTGCTGCTATGTTAATCTGCTTGCACTAAGGAAATTGTTCATTTTGGTAATCAAAAGTGGGTGAATTCCTATATCATCTTACCGCAAACTGCATCTAGCAGTTGACATTTACGTGTCAAGTGCATGCGTTAGAAAAATAATTGGAAGGATTTTCGCTTGCATTTCTGAAGATATACCCAAAAGTACGAGATTAAGAGGTTCAAATGGATTGAACTGTGTGATTTTGTCTCATCTGATTGATACTGGACACACAGACGGATCAGCAAGCGAAACATTACGGACTTCCCATTGCCTTGGTAACTAGTTTACAATAAAATGTTTGCAAACTTTTGGTAGATCATTTTATCTTGCACATTTTTTTGTTTCAAACGTTAATTCTTTATCTGAACTCTGCTCGGCTCACTCTTCGAACTCTTTTTAATCCAAAATATTTTGAAGTTATGCAATTCATGGTAGTTAGTTCCCATCCACCTCCTAACCTTCTCCCTCAAGAAATTTCACGTAATAATAATAATCCTATAAACAGTCAATCTTCCTATCGCATTCGTTATGACCGCCACTACTTTAATCACTTACATTACCATGTGTTCCCGGTTGATCGCGTCAATAACTTCCTGTCAAATGTACCTGCACCCCAGTGAGTGATGTTCTCGTCTTGGCTCGAACCCCGTACCCTTCGCTTCAAACTCCAGAGCGTTATCCATTAAGCCAGTGTGGTGCGATAGCCACCTTTTGTGCAGCGTGCGTCAGTTGTTGTAATGATACTTGTAGTTTCTTATTGCTGTACATTGACCTCTGTTGCCAGACGCACTCCTTTGCAGATGCGTCGATACTGCCGGATATTCATGACGTTATATTGATCTTCATCGAGCAGTTCGGCCCTGTATAGCGACAGGAAATTACAAGTATCATGACAACAACTGACACTCGTTGTACAAGAGGTGGCTAACGTGCCTCAGCGGATAACGCCCTGGCGTTTGGTGGGAAGGGTACTGGTTCGAACCTCGGTGGGAACATCATCACTCACTGGGATGGAAGTACATCCAGCCGATGAGTTCCAGATAGGACGAAGCGCACGTCCTAGATTCCTCTTCTAGTCACCAACATCATAAACATCCGGCAATATCGAGGTATCCGCATAAGAGGCGTATCTGCCAAGAAAGGTCGAGCAATTCGACCCTGCATATCAACGGGAAAATACAAGCATCAATACAACTTCTTGCCAACTTGTCAAAAGGATGTTCGAATTATTCTGTTGTCTGAAGGCAGTTGAGAAGAATCTTTGAAATAATAAAAATGACCATCCTGCTACACTAGTTATTTTTGTTCTGTTCAACTTTATAAATTAACCTGATTGGTTCAATGAAACACGAATTTGTCGACCGAGGTCATCGTGACCAAACAACAGGTCAAAGTCTTTTACCATATTCACTAATGGGTTCGAATGTTGATTTCTATTTTGACCACCTTCTATCAAATGTTGAATGTCACTAGACTATCAGTAATTTCTTTTCGATGACTATTAGTCTCTATCCTTTTATTTACTATGACTGAATGATTACTAGGTACACTAAGTGTACACTTCACATATTCCGAAGGTGAACAAACAATCAGGTGACAGTGTATTGATTTGTTTCTATTTGAGCTAGTTGGTCAAATTACACATTTTTAAGGTACTAAATACCTTTGTAAGTACTGTAGTTGGACGGTCGAAAAACTAACTAACAGATAAGAAATTTCACTATGGACCATTCAGTTTGTAAGTAATTTGCAAATTAATCATTCTATATAATGTCTACCGGTTTATTCAAGTCAGCTAGTCAGATTCAGTGGACGTGAATAACTAAGTCCTAAATTAGTGAAACGATCTGATCTGGCTAGAGAAGTCTACAAGTCAACGTGAGTGGTTAGTTATGACTCATTTAATCTGTTTATGATATGTTTTGCTGATTACTTTTAAGCGACTATATTGAGTAACCGAGTTTTCTTGACACTGTTTTTTTATATCTGTTTTTTCTCCTCCTCCACTGATTGTTTACCCCATCTAGAAAGAACAAGCTGATCTCTATAAAAATATTGTCACAAATGAACGTTCACGTATACCATTTCGTTATTATTTGATTGAATTCTACGGGCCAGCTTCATCATTGATTACAGCTAATCGTAAATTAATCTATCGGACGACATCTGATTTGGGTGATGTGTTAAATATGCTAACTGAACAGTTTCCTGATGCTACATTATTGAATCAACCATTGACTAGTCAATCGTCTACACTAACTGATAAGTTTTGTATATTTGCTAGTGGCAATTTGGAACCGGAACCAGCGATACCTGAACACTTGGATTCACGTGTTGTAGATAATAAAATTAAAAGGTAATTAGGAAAAAGTTTTTTTTTCCATCAGAATTAGCATGCACTGACTTGAAGAGAGTGACTTTAAAGACGACCCTGGCAACTTCTAAAATAACCAATCAGCTTTCTGTATTCCTGTTAGAAAGGTGTAGTTTTCCGTAAAATAAAGAAAAGTATTGGTTATTTCGACGCTTGCCAGAGTAGCCCTTAAACTTACCCCCTAACACATGAGTCAAACTAGTCTAATGGGAACTGTCACGTTAGTAGAGTGTAATATATTGTTGCTATGCCTGAACTGAAACATAATCACACAGTAGAATAGGACAGAGCAACAGTTGGAATGGAAGGAGAGTTTCATCACTGAATTTCTGTCCAACGAATCAATGCCAACTTCGGATATTCGAAAATTTGTACTACCACCAAAACGAAAAGAACAGAAGGTAATAAAACTATGTAAACCAGTCATCATCATTATCAACATAGGACCAGGCATTACTGCGTAACGCTCCGAGTTGCTACACCTCATATCAGCACATCAAGTAAAAAGGTAGTGAGGTGAAGGATGAAGATAAGTGAATGCAGTCAAAGGAAATATAAAGTACGAGAAGAAAGGAAAGAGGAGTGACAAAATGGTGAGATTCGGTATAGCGTTGTTAAGATGAGGATAATGTGTGTTTACATCTGCGCCACTGACTTCGGTTCTGAGCCATATCACCTGGGGTCTCCAACCACTGGTTCCTCTTGTCCCGTGGACCCCAACCACCTAGTCTGCATCGTCCTACATGGCTTAAACCAACAGTCAGAGACTTCATACATTGGTGCCATGTTTTAGTCTGGCCACCTCGGGCCTTTTTCCAGCCTGGACCCACCTCAGCCAACATTGTGTGACGAGGCAATCGGTGACTAGGCATACGTAGTATGTGTCCCAACCATCTCAATCGATGAAGGTTCACAACCTCGTCAACTGACTTACCTCTTCTCCCTAAAACTCTACACCTGACTTCTGCATTACTCACGTGGTGACACCACGGAATACGTCCTATATTACGAAGGCAACGGTGATCAAACACCTGAAGCCTTTTTGTATCCTCCACTTTCAATGGCCATGTTTCACAGCCGTATAGTAGAACAGACTGGACTGCTGTGCAGTACACGCGACCCTTAATAGACAAACGAATATCACGGCGGCGCCATAGGTGGCGCAAATTGGCGAAAGCCAATTGAGCCTTTTGTATCCGTGCAGAAATCTCATCGGCAACTGACCCACCGGAGTTGATCCTACTTCCCAGGTAGGTGAAGTGGTCAACACACTCAACCACTTCACTCTCTATTGTTAACCATGTAAACCAATGAAGAAAGCGGTGCGGTCACCTTCATATATGATTACGAATGATCATTTATCCTCAAAATATCATCCATTATATTATACCGTATCATTATGTTGCATATATAATAAACTCATTCAATTTATATTAAGATGATTTCTGTAATTTATTGATTTCTAATTGTATTTAACATACATTGTTTACACTTCAAGTAGACTGAGGCTTTCAATAAATCGAATTATGCAACTAATGCTGCCGTAAACAATCCAGATTCATTCGGGGAATTCGACGAACGTGTGATTCTTCATAAATGAAGAGTCCCAGATTGGGATGAAACAAATATCAAGTGCTTTCTAATCAAAATAGACTTTTCAGTTGAAATCATTTCACAACCAACATTATCTTCATTCAGGGTTTTCTAGTAAACCAATTTTCAAATCTATTTATCTATCTGTTGACATGATAAAGAAAAAGGTGGTACACGGAAAAGAAGATAAGGGATATGTAGGAGATGAACAATAGTTTATTTAGTGTATCCAAAACAATTTAACATGCCCTAACGTACACGTTCTTTCAGTTATGATGTCATCTAATGTTTCTGACTGCTGGTTCGCTCTAGCCTCCATCCTGGAACCTCATAGCACAACTTACCTCTAATTCAGCCTAAATATGGTTGTTGATGCAGATCTATGTGATATCTTGTCCAAAGAAATCTAGCTGTTAAGCTCAAATCAATTCAACTCTTCAGTGGATGAATTCCTCTTGGTTTCCGTATGCGAAGCGTAGCTAGTGTTCAGTAGAATATTTAAGTGCACAATCTCGAGGTTAGGTGGGTGTAGAATAGGCTCATTGTTCATGCACATTTTCTACCAATGCTAAGAGCCTGTCTACTTCAACTCTCACTATTATGTCGAGTGTGATTAGTTTGGAAAATGTTAAACTACGACTTGACACTAAACCATATGGTGATTTATATCCGATGGAAAATGTGTGCATTGTGGAGAGAATCAACTTATTAGAAGTGTATTTGTAATGAATGTTAACAAACAATGGTGTTATTTACTTTTGGTAATATTTCAAGCAAAATTACTGTCCGTGATCACACGAAACCCTGTGGTCGCTTGTTCGAATTCTCATTTCACTTTCAATCATTCATCCAGTATCAACACTAGTCTACCAAACCACCACTATCTGAGACAGTCAAAGTGATAACCTATATGATGCTCCTCCTCTCCAATTCAGTTAGATTTCCAATGGGATGAGAAGTCCTGACTAGGCCGTCAGTGTGAGTACGATCAAGCGATGGTAATACATCACGAATTTACATTGTAGTCGGACGAAACCCCTTAGTGATTCAAGTGAAATAAAAATGTGGCTAGTAGTCGGGTCTTGTAGCTGAGTTGGTGCACAAGTACAATGTATCTGTGGTGCAGAACATTTATCGCCTATGTATATCGCTTGTTAAACTAAGCAATTGTAGCATCCAATGCCTAATCGGCTCTCATTGTTATTCTATCATTCCTAAGCATAAATGTTTCTTTTCTTTTTTTTCCTCCTAGTTACTATTCTAAAAATCGTGTCAAATGCTTTTTAAGACATCGACCATTACAACCAACAGAGGTTAGTTTCAAACGCAGTTTCTTGATGATACATTTTTTGTATGGAATTGTTATTCACCTCTTAATCAGTACATCACGAGTATGAACTTTCCTCCTCCTCTTAAGGGAGTCGTTATTACCCGTCACACAATAAACGTCTAGTGGGTGTTGCTGATAAGAATGGATATAAGCAGTATATGTTGAGAGGGCAGCAATGGGTAAAGGTGCTGCCCAGAGAAACGCAAGAGACAATGTAGGCGTATTAAAAGCAAATCAAGAGAGAAGGAGAAAAGGAAATGAGGCACACTTTGTAAATGTGTCTTAGTGCATAGCGACTACTGTACCACATGTTAATGATAAATATTTTTTCCTTCATCTCTATCTTCTCGTTTCCTTCAAATGTTGTTCACAGCTTTACATAGCTAAAAATCTAGATGAAGAAGGTTGGTTTATGGCAAGCGAATTCTCGTCGGGTCATAATCGACTGACGTTGAACATGTGTAGTGTGAAAATATTTTACCTTTGAATGGAATTATTCTGATCCAGTCATTCAGTGTACTCATATAACGTTCACGAAAAAAAGTATGAAATCTGAGAGGATGTGAAACGCATGTAAAAAGATAATTGAGGCTATTTAATCGTTTTCTGAAGGTTTTTCACTCTCCAGTTTCATTTTTCTCGATGTATGTATGGATATGAGTTAGATCGAGTAAATGGTATGTTGTGGATTGTAGTTCCTTTGTTGGCATTTACTTATTAGCAAGATGAATGTATAATATTGAGGAATTGATGCTGTCTCTCTTCTTAGAAATTACGTCTTTTCAATTCTAATTTGTACTGAAATTCTTTTTTATTGTATCTTGAACTAAGCAACTAAATGCAAATCATTGACTAGCTGATGAAATCTACAGATTAGCCGGAGGGGTTTCTGACTACTCAAATTGTTCCGTAGTATATTTTGCTAGTTCATGACACTTTTATGTCATAGATCACACACTGTGGTGTCCCCCACTATATAACTCAAACCCTCACCAAACACCAGAGTGTTATCCACTAGACCAACGAGTCACAATACAGATCGAATCAATTCGGTCCAATCAACGATGAGATAATTCTTTCCTCCTTCTTTTTTAAAGGTGTAAACATGAATACCAGAATAGTTTATAACAGTATATCTTGCTAGTCAATCTCTCTTACTCTATTTCATTTTACTCTAGAAAAAAGATGGTCGTCTTGTAACCAACACCGAGGAAACACGTTATTGTATAACAGAGACAATGCCAAATATCATTCCTATTATGCCAGTGGATAGAGTAGAAATAGTAAGTCAATATATGAATAAATTGTGATCCTTTTTTGATGAGGATATTTGAGATAGATGTGCTATAACAGACTGCTACTACTGATACGAGATGACGATTAAAGGTGAAATAAAAAGCTGGATCGCATTTGGATTCATATCAGCTAGCTTCAGATCTTCTAACCGGTGCTCATCCAACTGAACTGTGAGACCCAACTATTGATAAGTTTTGATGTCATTCCACTTATCAGTAGGTAACCCTTTGTGTTTATACTTTATATATTAAAGGATTCTTTTCGGTCTGTAAACTCTACACCCAAAGTTGCTTCTGTCTATTTCATCTTGAACATTTTACTGTTTACGGATATTAAACATACTTAAAATTATCAATAATAACAACTCATATCGGCTTCATAAGAGGTGGTTCTTGTGCCTCAGTAGCCTAGTGGATGATAATGCACCGGCGTTTGAAGCGATGGGTGCTGGGCTGGAGTCTTAGTGAAAATACCATTGCTAACTAAGGTATAAGTACATCTAATTGAAAAGTACCAAATAGGACGATATGCACGTCCTGGATTCCGTTAGTGCTATATACTCCTAACTTTGTATAACTTCTGCCTAATGTTAGCCTATAACCTTAACATAACTTATCATTAGTGTTTCCACACCGTTGCTAGCTTTTGTTTTCCCACTACTCTGAAGATTGAACTCTCATTAGCTGTTAACTCTTTTAATCTATCAGTGAATTTAGTGTTGTCAAGGTCGTTTAGAAATGTATATATTCATAATCTCTCTCAACTATTTTGACTATTGTTGAGGCAGTAAAAGCTCTCAGTTGGTGTTTTCTTTTGGTCTTTGCGTATCGATGGTATTGTTGCAGTGATCGTTAACGTTTTGACTAGCGTTTAGGGTCGATTTGTTTTGCGCGTTAGGTGCATATCGCTCGTAGACTGTTAGATCGCCCTACTGGCCATAGTAATTGGTAACCACCATCTAGCGAATTATACCATAATGAACCCTCAGGCAATGTCGTTGCATCTGCATAGCAGTTCATATGCCAACAGAAGTGGATCAGTCCGATCCGGTTATAGCAATAAGAAACTACCGATATGAATAATTGTTGAATCGTCTAGTTCACTTAACGCTTGATCATCAAAGTGAATCTGCCTTTTGAAACTATTTCTTTGAAGAATATACAGACTTAGTATGCAAATGATCGACCACATACAGTTCCTTAAGCTAGGCTATATGCCTATCGTTTCATCACTAATGAGGCTTCTTGACTACTGAGACATTACTAAACAATTCAAGGCTCAAACTACTCATAAACTACTGATTTGAAATGGAGCAGGTCTGACACTGAATCACGGTTCAGTGTCAGTATCGAGCGTAGGCAGTTGTTGATGAATGTCTGTAGTTTGTTGGAAGTGCTTTTCATGACGCGCCAAGTCTCTGAACCATACAGAAGCACTAACTTGACTGAATTGGTGTTGAAAATCCGGATCTTGTTCAACATGCTGAGTGCAGACGATCTCTACACTGCTTTCAGGCTAATGAACGCCCGTCTTGCTTTTCCGATTCTGACTTTAACATCCTCGTCTGTGCCGCCTGTAGTTGAAACAGTGCTGTTTAGATAGGTGAAGGAGACTACTTCCTTTAAGTTTCTCCCGTTGATGGTGATTGGAGTTTGTTGGTAGTGGTGGTGGTGGTGGTGTCTTAATTTGAGATCCAGATGTATTACTTCACTATTTCTTCGCTATCATGTAAGCAAATGTTTGCTGCACTCTGTCCCCAGTTTTCACTCTAAATTGTAACAATGGATGAGATATTCTGTCTTACCTCATTACTTGATGAACACAGTATCCATTATTCCTGATCTTTGGAAACTTGGGAGTACTCAACAGCTGTTTCTTCCTAGTATGGGACTCCTCAGCAATGCGTGCCCATGACCCTCAGGACAGCACGTTACCACTGAGCCACCGGGTCGGATCTACTCGGCTTCATCAGTACTATATTAAAGTAAATGTCTATATGGCATAGACATACATTAAACGTTCTGTGAGCCTAAATAAGTTAGGTCTTTAAGTAGTAATACTGACTATACCAAGTTTCAGCGTTTAAATTCATCACATTAAACTATGTTTCTGTATCTGCTGCTTATATTACACTCACTGTAAGATATCGAATGAAATTACTCTCTTCATAAAACAGCCATTATGCTAACATATGAAATGCCTAGTGGACATATAAATCCTCATTTGGATTTCCTTCACAAAAGAACTCATGGTTCTGAAATGCCTTCCCACCTTGTCAATTGAAAATGTATCTATACTGTTAGTCACATAGCGTGAAGCATTATCAAGTTTTGATTACTTTATATTGTTCTTCTAATTGATTTGATGCCTAATAAGCCGTGATGAAGATACCCAACTAAGAACAACAAGAACCGATCATCATCAACGGGAGAAATCTGAAGGAATTCGTCTCTTTTACCCACCTCTCTACCTAGACAACATCGTTTAGACTACAGGGGGTGGCGGTGACACATATGAGGACGTCAAAGCCAGGATCTAAAAAGCAAGAGAGGCCTTCATCAATCTGAAATCAATGTGGAGATCTACTGCCCTGCACTCAGCATGTGAAACAAGATCCGGATTTTCAACGCTAATGTCAGTCAAGTCATTGCCTCTATATGGTTGAGAGACTTGGTGCATGACGAAAAGCATTTCCAACAAACTGCAGACATACATGATGAACAGCTGCTACTGGAGCCCTTTGTCCCACTAGGAACCCAAAGGACTAATAATAATAATAAACGCCGTGAATTACGACTGCCTGTTACACCTAATGAAGTACTTTCTATATCGTTACTAATTGAAGTGACATTATTCCTTAGATTATATCGTTGGATTTTTAAGGAGCTGTCAGAAATCAACAGATTAAATTTCTTTCTAGCTGTGGATGAATCCATCATGTGTTTACCGTCCATCGGGTGCTCGAATCCTGTCACATATTGTAGGCCAAAAATCGTTGTATTTCTCGGTACTATGGCTGCCTTCAATTCCTTTGACAAGGCTGTAATGAGGCATTGTTTCTTTTAGAGATCTGTGTCGTTTCTCTTTAACTTTGCCTGCGATAACATTCTCTAGATAGCCTTGAATGAGGTGTGTTGCATGGTAGTAACGTAAGTATGGTTGTTATCGACTGCGCAGACAATATCGTTTTACTGTGCAACAACGTAGGTTACTCAAATAACTCTGAGTCGTTTAACAATCAGTTTCTGAAAGTATGTTATATGCTTTGTGTCATCAAAGTGTAAAGTGTTCTGAGAAGATTGACAAGAGCTTGTACTTGGATAATGAACCGTTGGAAATTGTCGAAACGTTTATGTGCCAGTTCGCTTTCCTTGAAATTAGTTGTGAGGAGCGGATTGATGATCAGTGTATGAGTGCGGTCAAGTAGGCCATTCAACTCAGTGACCTATGATCATAGCCTACAAGGCTCAGAATCAAAACGAATAGCTATCTTCTTGTGTTCAAAATTGATGTACTAAGTTCGTGTTCCTAATAATAATAATAATAATAATAATAATAATAATAATAATAATAATAATAATAAATAAACAAATAAATAAATAAATAAATAAATAAAAGTCTGAGTTCTACGTTCATATACGCAACTTTGCGGTTGAAACGACTGATTTAAGTGGACATTTCAACTATTTGATTCTCCTTTTGAAAAAAGAAGCCCTCATGACCACTTGCTTTATCTTGATGTACGTACTTCAGCCAATGTTTTGAATGTCATTATTTTTTTTTGTCTGCATTTAGCGTATGTTAAGTCAAACAGAGTGGGCTAATAAACAAATCCAAGGCATTATAAAAGTATTACACACGGATTTGGTTTCAGCTAGATCACAAGAGGCCAATATATCTCAGTATATTGGTAAACTTGTCTCTTCTATTCAATCACCTGTCAGTGGTGGTGTACCGAAATTAGTGGTGAGTTTCAAATGAAATTATTTGTTTTATTCAGTGTTGTTCTTTTATGGAATATAATTCCTCTTAGTCGTTCTTCTTTCCACCCCACCCACCAATGATTTAGTATCGTTTAATCATGCGACGCCAATGGGAAGCTCAGTGATGCCTTTGAAGTGGAGACAGGAGTAAAACAAGGCTGTCTACTACCACCCATGATATTCCTGATTGCGGTGGACTGAATCAAGCAGCAAACAGTGAGGAGCGAGGAGATGGACATACGCTAGCTGGACCGATGAAGAGACCCTAGACGATTTGGATTTCGCCGATGACTTGTGCATAATGTCGCAAAAACTCGAAAATCTACAGGTAAAAACTAACAAGTTGACAGAAGAGGCGAGGCAGCGAAGACCGGACTTCAAGTGAATATAGAGAAGATAGAGGTGATGATGATACCCAACCAACGCCACCACCATCATCATCAACAACAAGTTCCAATCACCATCAACGGGAGAAATTTAAGGGAAGTTGCCTCTTTCACCTATCTAGGCGGTATCGTTTCAACTACAGACGACGGCACAGATTAGGACGTTAAAGCCAGCCAGGATCGGAAAAGCAAGACAGACGTTCATTAACCTGAAACCAGTGTGGAGATCCTCTGCACTCAGCATAAAGCATGAACAAGATCCAGATTTTCAACACTAATTCAGTCAAGTCGATGCTTCTATATGGTTGAGAGACTTGGCGCGTTACGAAAAGCATCTCCAACAAACTACAGACATTCATCAACAACCGCCTACGCTCGATACTGACACGGCGCAGAAAGCAACCAAAATTGCCTCGTTTTTCATGATCCTATGAATTCTGTTAGAGGAATAAGAGAACTTTTTGTATTTTGGAACGGGCAGTTAAGTCAAGGAATGGCTAAACTTCATTTGTACCATTTAAATCAATTTTGGAACTATTGACGTACAACATATCCAATCATCCATTTTCTACCGAATCATAGGCTTCAATCTCCATTTCCGTGAACTGCTTGACTTGTTGATGTAATATTATCCTGTTTTGTGTCCTTTGCAAGGGAATATTTTCAAGACACTAACAAACAAACACCTATATCTTCCGTATGTGATTCATTTCTAACCAACACTTTTACCAGTGTACTCATATGTTGGATAATCTTCCACCACTTAAATTGTGGCTGTCTCATCTGCTGAACAAATGACGTAGTGGGACAGATGTTGATCTATACTCATGCAGTTGTGTAGATAAGTGATGAACGCCATAGTGCTTCATTGCGTCTGGTGTGTACAACAAGGTGACTCTGTCTGGCACACCTTCATGTACTAGACTATCAGCCATACTTGAATGACTTGTGTGTGATTCATTTACCCTTGTGTAGCTGGTCAGTATTCAAATAACGTAAATTACGCATCAATTAAATTTTTTTCAGCACACTGTTGAAAAATCCTAAACTAAGACGAAACATCTGTTCAGTCTTCTCAGGTTCCTGTTGGTTCTCTGGCTAATGTTAATCCATGATGAGAGCTGCTTTGAAAAAGAAGGTTTTTATTTTACATGGTGTGATTGAAGATCCAGTAGCTTAGTAACTGCTATCTTGACATGGTGGTCGGTCTTGCATATCGCAATTATTCAACAAGCTATATTGGTTTGGACAATGTTCCTTGATGTCCTACCATACCACAAAGGTTTGTCGGATAATGATAGAACTAAAAGCAGTTAGAGACATAATGCATATAATTTACGCTGTGGTGAGAGTTTGAGCCAAGATTTATACTGTCTGCTGTATAGATTGATAGCAGTTAAATGTTCACGGTGGATGACCAGCACGGGCTAATAAATGGCACTTAGAAGTAGAGCACTCTTCCCTACCATATGAACTACTGTACTGAGTGAGTGGTTAGGATCTTTTTTAAGTACGGATGTAATTTAAACGGAGTGAGGCTAAAAGTTATCTCCAGTTGTTATCATGCTTGTTATGGGATATTGCGTTCTGTACTCAAATTCGCTTACTTTTCGTGTGCTGTATGTATACTTTACCTAATTCTATAGTTTCTAAAATACTCTCTGTCACTGAATCATGTTTCATGCCGTTTATTCATATGCTAATTATTGGTTGCCCATCCACCTCCCAGTAGGAATGTAACTACATATATTTATGGAGGATAATGCTCACAAATCAAAGTAAGTTAATTCAGCCTTAAAACTGCAGCAGAAAAGATTTATGATTGCAGTTTTCCACCCAAAATATAAGCTTATAAAGCACAGAAAATACGTATTTTTACATGGAACACTATTACACCTAGGGATAACTTTTAGCCTCATCGTTTAAACGGAGTAAAAATTTCCGAAATGACCGCATCCAACAGGCCTTAAGTGGGAGTCAGCTGGGGGCATTCGGGAAGTATCAAATCTTTCACACCTTGATCAGCAATTAAATGGCTTCTAGCCTTCAAACTGTGCATCTTTTATCGAAGTAAACAAATATTGTTGATGAGTGTTATAAGTGATGAAATCCTCCTCATCCTCAGCTCTTTTTCAACTATCGATTGATTTCTTTTCACTTGTTTGCATTGCCTTCTGTTGTCCTGATGATTTCAGGGGGTCACTTTTTACACACATGTTTCTCAGTTGGTTTAGACTATTAATCGAATGACTCAGTACATAGATACTGAAGTGACTTAAAAAGCTATCTAACAGCATCTGAAATGACCAGTCAGACTTTGGTATTTCACCTGGAAAAGTACTTTCCCATAAAATAAAGGAATGTAATTGGCTATCTCATCAGTTGCTAGGGTGGCCATTTAAAGTCACCCTATTAACTGTGTTTCTATATTAATCATATGGTGACCTGTTTGCATTATGATTTGTTTTGATATTGCTCTAACACCACTTTTTTCGGGTGTCTTTAAAGATCACCCTAGCAACAATCGAAATGTTCAATCAGGCAGGGAAAGCAAATTTTCACCAACTAGGGGGATTTAATTGGCTATCAGTTGCTAGGATGGCCTTTAAAGTCACCTCCTTTTTCTTGTATTGAAATTAAGTAGAAGGAAGAATTCAAGCAAGATTGAAACGACTGCTATATTTACTATCAATGAACTCGTGCAATATACTTCTTATCATAATTGAATACTTCTTAATGTAAATTTCAAGTTTTCTAAATGACATGATCTTTTTTTCTTTTTTCTGTCATTGACTACTCAAAATAATAATAATACTATTTATTATCTCGAATATCTCTTACAGAAAGATGTGGAGTTATCCGATGATCCTCGTCAAGAGAAATGCTTCTCTCAACTGGCTGATAGTGTTTTAGAACTATTAGAATTACAGTTGGCTTTTTTGAAATTATGGTATACAATTGACCCACCACCACCTCCTGTATCACATCGTCTATTCGCAATGCGTAATCCTGATATTTCAGAAAATACAAGTGGATCTACTGGCAGTGGTAGTAGTGGTACTGTAGGTTCTGGTAACTACCTACTCCATGAGATGATCGGCTCCTATGAAGTACTTGTACGTGATATGAGTCGAAAATTCGGTTTTTCTGTTGATCATCTAAACGCAGATAATCTTCGTTATGGTCCAATATCTACAGATCGACAGGCTAATACCAATTTATCTAATGTTAATAATACGAATATATTATCTCCACTTCGTCGTAATTCACGTTCATCGCAAAAGTGAGTTCATTCAAGGCTTTTAGCGTCTTTATTCAGTAGACATTGACTTTGTCATGAGTTTATTTTAGCTTATTAGTTAAAACACAAAATAAACAGTCTAGCAACAACTGAAATAACCAATTCAACTTTTTGAGTGACTTTAAAGGCCATTTTAGCGACTGATAAATTAACCAATCAGGTTTCAGAATTTTGGCTTGGAAGTTAGTTCCTTATAGAATGTAGGGACGTAATTGGTTATCACCGCAGTTATTAGGGTAGCCTTTAAAATCACTCGACTTTTCTATCCTATAAAAATCTCACTTTACAACCTAAATGGAGAAACCTAATTGGTTATTTCGACCGTTTCTAGTGTGACTGTCAAAGTTGCCCGTATACTGTCCGTCGCAACACACACACAACATTCAGACGGAGTTATTCGCAGAAAATACGAATAATAGAAGATTAAACATAATGATGATAATGTTGACATAAGTAAGATAGCCAGAAAAAGGCTCAATGAAGAAAACTTTCGTTAGTTGTCCATTATTTCTAGTGGAAATATAACTTTGGTCGTAGGTCATTTGTAGCAAATTTTCCAGCATTTGAGATACATTTTCTCCATGACTTGACTCAGTTAGTTATAATTCATTAACACACGTCAATCTAGATCAACTATCGTTTATTCATACTTCTCAATTTACCTGTTGCTATGCTGGATTGAATCGCTCGACTTGTATTGGCAGATGAGATTCTATGTGGAGGCTTAGATACTACCCCGATATTTATTACATTGTAGTCTATTTGAAGGCAGACAGTGGAATCCGGGACGCGCATTTCTTCCGATTCGGGACTTATTAGATGGATGTACCTGCACCCCGTTAAATGATTTGTTCCCACCTAGACTCAAACCCAGTACTTTGATACCACTCTTTTTCTATCCACCTATTCTTCGTGCACTACAATGAAGCGTGGCAACTTGAGGTGGTGCATCTTTGTGCTAGGTTCTCTGTTGCTTTTGTCAGTCAGTTAGTCAGTTTCAAACGCGAAAGCGTTATCCTCTAGGCCAATGGGGCTCGAGAGCCACCACTTGTACAATGGGTATCAGTTGTTGTTTACTAGTATTTGTAATTTCTCGTTGCTACGGCCACGCGTTGCATAAGTGGTGGCCCTCGTGCCCCAGTGGCTTGATGAATAACTCTTCGGCATTTGAAGCGATGGGCACTGGGTTCGAGCCCTGATGGCGACAAAGTGACTCACTGGGGTGCAGGCACTCTCATCTGACGAGTGCTGAGTCGAACGGGATGCACGTCCTGAGTCCCACTGCTAGCACGATCCCTCACTTTATGCTACCATGTCGTTAACTTACCACATATCTACACCAGTCAACCGGTAAGTAATGCCGTTAATATAGTAAAACTGTTCTGCTTGATGCACCAGTTAATCTGTATCACAATAGATGTATCTCATTGACCGTAAGGTCTAGGGTTCGAAACCCGTCCTGACTACTTTTACTTACGCAACTGAATATTGCCATAAGCGGCCACACTGCAAGTGTAGTTCATAGCTTACAACCATACCAAGTTCATTTACATGCACGTGTTCACTTTATGTGATATAATCTAACGAAGAGTTTTAGGACACGTTTCCCAGTGATCTTAAGGTAGTCCTCTATGATCGAAACATGAGTAACTAGTCAATCAGCATTCTAACTAGAGTCTGGAAGTTATTGCACATCGATTCAAGTTACCATACTACACATATAGCCACACTGAGGTATAAGGCAACAGGGAAAAGGTTGAGGAAATGAAAATAATATTATCATAAGTGGGGAAAAGTCATACGTCCGAGGGAGGTTATTCAGTGACTAAAATGAAGATGAGGTGTGGATTCATCTTCGCCATTGTAGTTGATCGTTAATCATATCACTTCGAGTCTGCAACTGTGGGTTTCAGTTGTCATACAGACTCCAATATGGAAATCTAGAGTTCTGTACACGCCTTAAATCAACAGTCAAACACTTTCAGGAAGAAACAAGGTTTTTCTGGATACCAGCGTCGAATCGTTTCTGCATAGTTGACTGTCCCTATGGATCAAATTGTCTGTTGGTTATCATGGAGATCATTTTCCAAGTTGAAAAAAATCACCGTGAATTTGGATAATAGAAAAGAATGCGTCAAGAGTGATACACTTCCACTTCAGTCAAATCTGATTGGTTTACAGTATGAGGTAGTTTTTTAAGCAGGTCCTAGATACATTCTGACTTATAGTACTCAAAATCATGAAGCCAATATACCTAGACTCTAATTACTAAGGTTGATCAGTATTATGCTCTGAAGGATATTGTTTTCTCCACATCACTTATTTCGTCTTTCAGGGTTCACTGCTTCATCCCTTACAGCACCTAAATACGATCTGATGAGCGGAGTAGCGAGTAAAGTGGGGGCTTTGAGGTGGAATCATGTTAATTCGACACTATGCCATCATGTAATCACTGTATGGATATTTAGTGGTGTCAGCCAGGGATGCACACTGTCACCATTGATGTTAGACTTCATTACAGATGTATTGATGGACATGAACGCCCAAGTATGTCTGACTTCACAAAGATTGATCTATTCTCTAGAGGTCATCTGGTTGGCTTGGAGTACATAGATGACATTTTCCTGCTGGGTGGATATGTTGACAAAATACAGCATCTTTTAAACGCGTTGAGCAGAAATTTGAGTATGTCTGGCATATATTTAGCTCCTTCTAAATGTAAGATGATACTCCAGGACTGATTTGCAACTATTTCCTGTTTAAGAATAGAGATTGAAGTGATGGAATATGTCGATCACCTCACTTACCTTCATCAGTTCGAACGGGCTGGTTTCTAACGAAATTTCAGCTCGGATATAGAAGGTTCGTTTGGCATTTGCCAACTTGTGTTATCCTTGGATCCAACTGACGAGATATTCGAGTAAGAAGTTGGTTTATTTTTAGAAGAAGGTTCAGGGTGATCAAATCATGACGTGGCACCAGTGCATGGATTATTTGACTACTTGTCACACCCGTAAAGGGATGTGTAGATTACCTAGCTGATATCCCCAAGACGATAGGAACCAGTGGTTGAGGAGTCTTGGTGATATGACTGAAAATCGTTCACAATGGCTCAGATGTATTCAGTCTTTAGTGTCTTCTTAAACCTGAATGGTTTGATTGGCCTTAATTTTTAAATTGATGAAATATACCCATTTATTCACAAATAAGAACAAGACATGTATCAACGAAGAAATATTTCTTTTCAACGACTTCATTATCAAGCTGTACAGTCGTATTTATACTCGGTAAATTGACAGATAATTACACTAAAAAGTTGCTCAGTCAATATGCCGAATATACAATCGATGTAGGTGGTGAAACCACTTTCTCTACCTTGGCCTTAACAATTCATTTTGTTGATTTTGTCAATTTCCATTTCACTTCACCTTGGTATACTTCTCTTTTATGATCATCAATTTTCACTGCATTGACAACATTTGACCTATATCTCACTTTTTAATATCAATTCATTCCTTATTCATTGACCTATTTTGCATGTTACAGTCTAATTATCATCATTGTACAATTCTTTGACAGCACTTGTCGCTTATCTCACCACTTGTTATCAATTTGTTCCTTTGTCAATGACCTATTTTCTATATCTTCCACTTGAACAAATACCACCACCCCTCCACCGATTGTATATTTTGTATATTGACTGAGCGAATGTTTTAGTGCAATTATCTGTCACTTTACCGAGTATAAATACGACTGTACAGCTTGATAATGAAGTTGTTGAAAAGAAATATTTAAATTCCCTATCCTCTTATACACCTCTGTCTACTTTGATATCAGTCTATCCACTTGTTTTTTGTATATTACTGTGAAGTGTGGTAAATTGAACCGATTCATTTCTATGCGAGGTTCTACGTTGATTTTATTCATCTGTCCGTCTTTATTTTCAACTATTTATTCATGTCAACGTCGAACTATTGATCTCCTTTACACATACTAGAGAGCTACTTTACATTATTCAACGTAATTTTCTAGCATAAATTTCGAGTTTCCTATTTCTTAGTGCTAAATATAATAACACAGTTGGATGTTAGAAGTATCCCAAGATTGCAAACTAATCTCAGCATTAATTTAATCATAGTATATACCCTATTTCACAGCAGTATAACTCATTACAAAGGTTGCCTACTATCCCCCATGATATTCCTGATTGTGGTCGACTGGATCATGCAGCAAACAGTAGGCAGCGAGAAGAGGGGGATACACTGGACTGCGGAAAAGAACCTAGAAGACTTGGATTTCGCCGATGACTTGTGCCTGATGTCACATAAACTTGAAGATCTGCAGGCAAAAACTAACAAGTTGATAGAAGAGGCAGCGAAGACGGGACTTCAGGTGAATATAGAGAAGACAGAAGTGATGAAGATACCGCACCACCACCACCAACAACAACAACAAACTCCAATCACCGTCAACGGGAGAAACTTAAAGGAAGTAGTCTCCTTCACCTATCTAAACAACACTGTTTCAACTACAGGCGGCACAGACGAGGATGTTAAAGTCAGAATCGGAAAGACAGCAAGACAGGCGTTCATTAGCCTGAAATCAGTGTGGAGATCTTCTGCACTGCACTCAGCATGTGGAACAAGATACGGATTTTCAACACCAATTCAGTCAAGTTAGTGCTTCTGTATGGTTCAGAGACTTGGCGCGTCACGAAAGGGATTTCCAATAAACTACAGACATTCATCAACAACTGCTTACGCTGGCTCGCTAGTGAAGATCAGATGGCCAGAAAGAATAAGCATAAGCAACAAGAAGCTCTTGGAACGAACCAACCAAGAACCTATCATGCAACAAATATGCAGGAGGAAGTGGAGATGGATTGGCCATGCACTGAGAAGGCCGACTGAGGACATCACGCGTCAGGCCAGGCCCTCGAGTGGAATCCCCAAGGGAAGCGACGAGTTGGACGTCCGAGGGTGACATGGAGGAGGTCGTGCGAGGAGGAAATGAAAGCTTCTGGGCTGTCGTGGAACCAGGTTCAAAAGATCTCAGAGAACAGAGGTCACTGGAGACGTGCTAGTGAGGCCCTATGTTCCACTAGGAACCCAAGGGACTAATAATAATAATAATAATAATAATAATAATAATAATAATAACTCATTACAACGATAGTGTTAATCCAAGCAACATGCATACTAATTCTCATATTTTTTTTCAACAAAACTATACATGTGTTGTAGTAATTTGAATACGGGTGTTGCTACAATCGCTCAGTCAACTGTGCCAAGAGTTTTCTTTAAACCTGATTACTCTGGATCGGAACATGCAACAATTCGCTCCCTGCAAAGATCATTTCAAATGGTAAATTGAACATTAGTTTTAAATTGTTAAATCTTTTCCTCATATCTCATGTTTTAAAACATATATTTTTTAACTAGATGTCTACTTCATTGGGTATGCTTTTTATCTGCCGTATAGGAATGGATTCGCATCGTTTCATGTTAGTTAGTTTTATGAAACCACTTAGGGACACAGTCCACAGTTTTTACTCTCTCAATAATACTCAATAATAATACTCAATAATACTCTTTCAATAATACTAGTAGGACTATCCAAATAGCTGGAACGCGTGTTGAATCATTTTTTTTACTGCATTTATTGAGGGTTGCATGTACTGCACAGCAGTCCGCTCTGTTCTGTTACATGGCTGTGAAACATGCCCATTGAAGGTGGAAGACATGAGAAGGCTTCAGGTGTTTGACCACCATTTCCTTCGTAGTTTTAGGCTGTTTTCCGTGGTGTCACCATGTGAGTTTTAGGGAAAAGAGGTAAGTCAGTTGACAAGGTTGTGAACCCTCATCAACTGAGATGGCTGGTTGGAACATGTGTTACGTATGCGTAGCCACCATCTGCCTCGTCGCACAATGTTGGCCGAAGTAGGTTTAAGCTAGAAAAAGGCTCGAGGTGGCCAGACTAAAACAATGACATCAACGTATGAAGTCTTTGACTGCTGGTTTGAGCAGTGTGGGGCAATGGAGACTGGGTGGTTGGGGTCTGCGGGGCAAGGGGAACCAGTGGTTGGAGACTAGGTGATATGGCTGAGAACCGGTATCAGTGGCGCAGATGTATACACATATTATCCTCATCTTAACAACGCTATACCGAATCTCATCATTTTCTCATTCTTCCTTTATCTCCTTAGTACTTTCTACTTCTTTCGACAGATTTTCCTTTCTTCATCTTCCACTTCACTGCCTTTTTACTTGATGTAGTGATATGAGCTGTGGCAACTCGGAGTGTTACACAGTAATGCCTGGTCCTATGTTTGTTTGGATGATGATTATTTCATTTCATCTACTACTATGCAAAGTAATCGAACGCTCTGACTAATTATATGCGTTATTACAACTACTGCTCTCTTTTATGAATATTCGTTTCAATACGTTTTTAGCTACAGTTGAGCTTTCCTACAGATTATTATTCATCATAGCCTACTAGTGTAGACGTAGCTGAGTTAATTCGCTGTAGGCAGCCACCGTAAATCAATCAAAGTGCATAACAATGATGACTCTCCTAGCTTGGAGACCACTTTGTTAAAATGATCGACGGGATTCTGTCAGCACTAGACAACATTAAGTTGATTACTCTTCAGTGACCAGTCAATGTTTTTTGCTGGGTTTCTGTTCTCAGATCGACTACCTTAGCTTGATTTACTTGACCTGATGGTCATTGTATAACGTCTAAAAAAATATATATTTGTATGTGTTCAGTTCAGCCAATAAAATCATGGGGTCGGTAAAGTTTACCTATTAGCTTGTAGTTTTTTTTATCGCTCTCTCTGTCCTCAACGTCGTTAAGTATTTTATAATTGCTCTTAACATTTAACTGTTGATCAATCGGATAGAACTGATTGGTTACTTTTAGCTGACAATCTCCTTTTCATAGTACTACTGACTATGTTTCGATAGTACCAAATGTTCGCTATCACCACAGACCCACGACACAGTTTCGTCTAGTTTTAGCCTCATCAGTTGTCTACTTGGGTCCATGTTTGTCCTTTTCTTGTGATCTAAACTCAGTACTCATCTTTCGAAGCACTATGGCTCTGTCATATATCCAGTTCAATAGTGTGTAAGTTGTTATTAACAAACATCCATCCGAGTATTCGGGCTTTGGCTGTAGCACAAATGTGGCCTGAAGCCGAAACCATTGGGTGTCTCAATGAAAACATATGAAACACTCAATATCTTCATACAAGGAGCCTATTCTTATAACTATACTTGGATTATGAATATGGCTTGCTCAAATTGCAGTGCATATCGGTTGTTAGGATTTTCAATGTCATAACTATAGCCGAGTATTTTCCTACATGCATCATAGTGATGACATTAAAAGTGGTGTATTGTAACTGTGTACGCAGTTCTGCAATAAATTCGTCAATTTTAGTGGTTTACAAATTCCCATAAAAACATAAAACACGTTTAGCAAAGAGTCACTCTTTACAGTGATACCATTCTCAAGATATACAATCTAGTGATAACAGAAAAGAAATGTGTTTTATAAAATATTTTTATACGAAATTCACTTTCGATTATAAATCAGGAGATCTGAAAAAGAACTCACATAATAATTGAAATAATATTGAGAATAGAACTTATCAAGATCGAAGCAATATTTGGATAGTAAGTTAAGTGATGTAATATGGCTAAGGAGGGGGCGGGGGTCTGATGAATGTAATGAGAAATCATAATTGTAGCCGGTGGAAGAATATAATGTATGAGATGTGAAAGAAAAGGTTTTGAGGGTAAAATATTCATAAAGATCATATCCATTACAACTCAGTTGACTAGACGGATTTCTTTTGAAGACAGAGTTCAGGCTTCGAAATATTAATTACCGTGGCTTCCTCAGTTTGAAAAGGTTTCAGGTGTACACCTTTCAGTAGGCTTGCAAAAACTCTGTAGATGACATTGTTTTCTACATTTACCGGGTTATCATAGTCGATCAAATGTTCTTAAATAGAGAAGCGAGTTGCTGTCCTTTGGAGAGTACAACATCAGGATATAGTTGATGTTTCTTGTTGTGTGAAACTTCTCTATTGTTTACAGCTACTTTATTCCTGGGATAGACATCTTAACTAACATACTGCCAATTGTTTATTAGCTCAGTCTCTGTCATCGTGTGATTTACTTTTACACGAAGTTTGTCAACTAACTGAAACCGTCTTCATTCTTTGTAGGTCGATTGCATACTTTCATTAGGGCTTATTATTATTATTATTATTATTATTATTATTATTATTATTATTATTTGTCCCTTTGGTTCCTAATGGAACATGGGGATTAAGTAGCACGTCTCCGGTGAGCTCTGTTCTCTGAGATCGTTTGAACCTGGCTCCAGGACAGCCTAGAAGCTCTTATTTCCTCCTCGCACGATCTCCTCCATGTCACCCTTGGTCAGACGCCCAACTCGTCGCTTCGCATCGGTGTTCCACTCGAGGAACTGGCCTGACACGTGATGTCCCCAGTCGGCCTTCTCAGTGTGTGCCCAATCCATCTCCACTTCCTTCTGCATATTTGTTGGGTGATAGGGTCTTGGTGAGTTCGTTGCCAATCAGCCATAGTTCCTTGTTGCTTATTCTAACTAATCTGGCCATGTGATGTTCAGTAAGGAGCTAGCGTAGGTGTCAGTTGTTGATGAATGTGTATAGTTTGTTGGGAATGCCTTTCGTAACGCGCCAAGTCTCTGAGCCATGCTGAGTGCAGTGCAGAAGATCTCCACACTGGTTTCAGGCTAATGAACGCCTGTCTTGCTGTCTTTCCGATTCTGACTTTAACATCCTCGTCTGTGCCGCCTGTAGTTGAAACAGTGTTGTTTAGATAGGTGAAGGAGACTACTTCCTTTAAGTTTCTCCCGTTGACGGTGATTGGAGTTTGTTGTTGTTGTTGTTGGTGGTGCGGTATCTTCATCACTTCTGTCTTCTCTATATTCACCTGAAGTCCCGTCTTCGCTGCCTCTTCTATCAACTTGTTAGTTTTTGCCTGCAGATCTTCAAGTTTATGTGACATCAGGCACAAGTCATCGGCGAAATCCAAGTCTTCTAGGTTCTTTTCCGCAGTCCAGTGTATCCCCCTCTTCTCACTCCCCACTGTTTGTTGCTTGACCCAGTCGACCACAATCAGGAAGATGATCGGTGATAGTAGACAGCCTTGTCTTACTCCTTCCTGTCTTCACGTCACTTCAAAGGCGTCACTGAGCTTTCCATTGTGAATTACTTAGCATGTTGCGTCTTCATATAGCTGTTGTTGAATGAGGCTGATAAAGGTTTGTGGTATTGTGTAGTGTTGAAGCAGCTGCCTACCAAATTACTTCTCAGTCGACGCTGTGGAACGCCGGTCTTTCCAAAGTCGATGAAGTTGAGGTAGAGTTGTGTTGACTGCCATTCTATACTCTGCTCTATGATGGTGCGTAGTGTAGCGTTGCGATTTGGTCGGCACATGATTTGTACTTCCTGAATCCAGCCAGCCAGGCTGTTCCGGTGGTAGTTTTGAATCCAGTGCATCCTTTAGTCTCTCTAGGATGATGCGGCTTAATATTTTGCTTGGTTCGGGTGGACAGGAGTGGAGCATGATTCCACGCCAGTTCTTGCAAAGACTGAGGTCTCCCTTCTTCGGGAGTTTGACAAGGTAGCCTTTCTTCCAATCGACAGGCAGGTACCTTCCCTCCCTTCCAGACCTTTAATAGTAGTGTGAGCATGTCTGCTGTTGTCTCTGCATCTGTTTTCAGTGCTTCTGGTGGGATTCCATGTGGTCCTGCTGCTTTGCCTAAATTCAGTAGCTTTATGGCGTTCAGGACTTTGAGTTTTGTTGTAGGATTTATGTTCACTTGTAGTTCTGTGGCTGGGCTGTAGGTGGTATTTCTGGACGAAGTGCAGTTGGTGGTGGTGGTCGATTCAAGAGCTTTTTGAAGTGGTCAGCCCATTGTTTCCTTTGTTTCTCTTCTTTGGTAATTAGATTTCCTCGAGTATCTTTTATTGGTTTCATCTGCATTGATCTCTTCCCTGATAGCAACCTGGTTATTTGATACAATGTTGTCAGGTCTCTGTCTCTCCTACCTGTAGCCTGTTCTGCTTCACTTGCCAGTGTGTCGTGGAAGTGTCTTTTGTCTTTGCGCGCACTCTTCTTCACTTCTTTGTTCAGTGAACTGTTTTATACATTGTACTCAGTTCCTCTTCTCATCGTTCATCATTGCCTATACTGGTTTATCTTCTGCTTCACCATCCTCCTCTCCTCTATCAGCTTCCATGTATCCGTCAAGATCTATTCCTTGTCTTGTCTTCTTTCTTCTTCCTTCCTAATACG